GAAATGTAGTGATTCATCCCAGCTAGCCTGGCGCCATGATATGAACAGCACTTTACTAGGAAATGTAGTGATTCATCCCAGCTAGTCGGGCGCCATCATGTGAACAGCACTTTACTAAGAAATGTAGTGATTCATCCCAGCTAGCCTGGCGCCATGATATGAACAGCACTTTACTAGGAAATGTAGTGATTCATCCCAGCTAGTCGGGCGCCATCATGTGAACAGCACTTTACTAAGAAATGTAGTGATTCATCCCAGCTAGCCTGGCGCCATGATATGAACAGCACTTTACTAGGAAATGTAGTGATTCATCCCAGCTAGTCGGGCGCCATCATGTGAACAGCACTTTACTAAGAAATGTAGTGATTCATCCCAGCTAGCCTGGCGCCATGATATGAACAGCACTTTACTAGGAAATGTAGTGATTCATCCCAGCTAGTCGGGCGCCATCATGTGAACAGCACTTTACTAAGAAATGTAGTGATTCATCCCAGCTAGCCTGGCGCCATGATATGAACAGCACTTTACTAGGAAATGTAGTGATTCATCCCAGCTAGTCGGGCGCCATCATGTGAACAGCACTTTACTAAGAAATGTAGTGATTCATCCCAGCTAGCCTGGCGCCATGATATGAACAGCACTTTACTAGGAAATGTAGTGATTCATCCCAGCTAGTCGGGCGCCATCATGTGAACAGCACTTTACTAAGAAATGTAGTGATTCATCCCAGCTAGCCTGGCGCCATGATATGAACAGCACTTTACTAGGAAATGTTAGTAGTGATTTTGCTCCTGATCTGCTCATCACTGAAAAATTGCTATTGTCGTCTCCATGTCTACCTTTACTTTAGAGGTTTCTTTGGAGGAGGTTTCTTTGGAGAAGTAGCAATTTAGATTTCAAATTCGCACAGGTTCATGGTGAAAAATATCATTAGGGTATGCAATGATGATACAAACTACAAAATCTGCAGATGATGCAAATTCATGAGAAATACAAACGGAAGATCGACATTTTGAGCGAAGGCCATTCGTCTGGAAGTTCGTAGCTGCTAATTCGAAATGTCGCAGTTCTGTTTGCATTTTCAGGCAGTCAAATCATCTACAGATTTCACAGAACTTTTGTAGTAAATTTCAACGTGTATATACAGTAGTTAACCTTACTTCATCGATAAACAGCACTCCAGGGACTAGTTCTGCAACTCCTTGATCGATATATTTATTTACAACCTGAAAATTTACAACGTAAATAAAGTCAACTTTCCACTAGGAGAATTTGCTCGCGTGAAGAGAAACGGAAAACAAATTTTGCCAATGTCACTCGTCAACGATAAAATTTTCGCGGGAGTTTACGCTAACCAATCATATATTGCCGAAATTCGTTTGTTGCCTGGCGCGCGAGAACAAATTTGCTTGGTGAAAAACGGCTTCATCATTAAAACAAAACCATAGTTAAAGAAATACAGATATAGCTCAAACGGTTCTCCATCACACTCTAAACTGCGCTTAACAAATCAAACTTTTCCATTTATTAGACGTTTTATCCTAACTGGACTTTAAAAATCTATCTTCTTGTTGACAACATATAGACTCAAATGTATTTCTATTAGCCAGACCTGCTAGACAACCTTTAGAAGGTGAATTCATATGGAATCCTACAGAATGAAATAACTGATGTTTCTTTATTAATGCAACATCTTGTCACTTTGGGCTCTGGAGATGCAACAACAGAATTCCTACCCATTGGCCATGAGTGGCCTTAAGGTGCAGTATACCGTCAGTACTGAACGTCTCTCACAAAGTGAGATGACACGTGAAGTATTTCAACTAACCAGTGACTGAGTACAAAATAAAGGAAACTCCAAACAATTTTATTTTCAATTTAATATCGACGTTTCGACTACTATTCAGTCATCATCAGGATACTACAGTAAAGTCATAATTAACGTCGATATTAAAATGAAAGTTTCCTTTATTTTGTACTTTATATAGTGGATCTTCATGAAGTTTTGAAAACAATATTTACCTTGTTAATCTCTTTTCGTAATTTATCTAAAAGCAAAGGAACGTGATTTAGAAAACATGAAAAAAATTATGTACAGTGTTTACAGTGTATGTTTTCATTAACATTGAGGTAAAGATTTCCGATGAATATTTCACACCTGTAATTTCAGTTTTCTTCGGTTTCATGAGTTGCCCCATCATAGACATTATATCTGAACCACCCTAGAGTAATAAGCATTAATGTTAGAAAACCCAGAGATGGATAAGATCAGATTTGGTAGGCAGGGGGGTGCTCATCAAGCCTTGGTCGTGGCTTGGGTGCGACCATTGAGCAAATGCATAATCACTAGAGGGAGCTACAGTCTACAAGTGGCAAAATACTGCCCCTGGCAGGGTTTAGGGGTCAAGCTAGTAGTAAGTTGCATATTTCGCAGCTGTTCCTGGTTAGGTTTACAGAATGTATAAAATCATACTCGAGATTTCCATCTACAAAACCTTTAACATTGAGTTGTATCGAGTGACATTCCCAAAATCCTGGTATTCCCCAGGAAGCAAAATCTTTGAAGAGTGTATTTAATGTTTAAAATGACAAACCTGAGGTCTTGCATTTGCAACATCAAGATCATGTAACGTTACGTCTTGAACTAACTCTTTCTTCTTGTGAACATCGCCTTTTGGTAAAGGAACATACTCCTCTGCCTGAAATACGTCAACAATAATAACATGGATATATCTATAGAAAAAACAAAACCGACAACCTAACATACAGGCGCAAGAACAAGAGTATAGCATGCAGAAACAGCAACAGACAACTCTCCAACAACAATAGTTGCAAGAAGGTAAGTATATGGTAATTTTCCAGGACATCTTCAGAGCTATTTACTTATTAGAAAAATGAGCAATCACAATGCAAGTTTTAGGTACTGTAATCATTGGCATTCAAGAACGATGAATAATTTTTCAGGGTTTCCAGGAGCTAGTGCAGGATTCCAGGACATTTCCAAGACTCAAATGAAATCCACGATATTCTAAGATTTCCAACAGACGTAAACAAGCAGACACAATTTTAGCCGATATTTGCCAAAACCGCGAAAGTTTCCCCTCGCCCGAAAAAAGTGCCGTGTTTTTGTGTCAAAATGTTCAGGAATCAATGCAACTACATTCCTGCACCTTTTTTTGTCGATATTTCAAACTATTATTATTAGCCATTTCAGCGTAATTTCTTGCGGACAAATTAGATGTCGCCATTGCCACGATGTCGACTTCACAACGTTAAGAATGACTGCATTCCTGGACATTTTGACGTGAAGACATGACACGTTTCTTCAAGTGAAAGGAAGCATCCGCAGTTTTGATATTTCCGTATTTCGGCTGTTTCTATATATAACTATTATAAAAGCAAATAAGTGAGTTCGATATTCCCTGCTGTTCTTCAACATCTAGGAAACATGGCGTACATTATGTCACTTCGGGTTCTGGCCAGAAGGGCAAAACAAAGAAATTTAACTTAGTGAATTTACCTCAAGATCGAATTCTGTTGCAAACGTATCTGAACGTCCTTGACGCTATAGAAAAAATACAAATATGGTTTGCGTTTGTACAATAAAACTGACTTTTGCGTAAATTATGTATCTGAGGCCCCAGTTGCACGATAACGAACTTCATTGTCCAGACATCGAATTTAACGGTTTCACATTCACACTTAACATTGCGATAACACAGTAAGACAAATTAAAACAAAAAACTGTTAAAGGGGTTAACTGGGTGCGATAATTCAAGATTTTTAGTCGTACCTGACTGGTACGCCAATGTTTGTTGCCACGTACTTGAGCTAGTACAAACTCAGTACTCAATGTGTACTTAGTAATAAAAATAAGGTTCATAAAGTACAGGTTTCTGAAAAATACGTGCAGACCATAGATATCTTATATACACTAGATAGCGCATCTCTTTTAGTAAAATTGAAGCCAAGAATATTCCAGCGGTTACCCCCATTTGAATAGATGGCGGCCATGTTGGTCGTTCCCACTTGCTAATAAACACTTAAAAACAACAATAACTTTCATCATTTGAATAGTTTAAAAATGTATTTTGAATAGGGTTAACTTAAGGTTTAAGTTCCCTGTTTATGAAATAGAAAACATACGAATCTTCTTATCTCATGGGAACGACCTGAGACTGCAATCACGGCTTCAATTTTGGAATTGCAGAATAATTAGATGCACTATCTAGTGTATATAAGATATCTATGGTTCAGACAACGAGGTAGAAAAAGAAGCACAATTGCATATACAAACAGTCGACTCCAACGTTTCTTAGTGCCATCCGGCCAATAATGTTTCATGCCACGACATCTCAGACACATGATAATACCAATTACATTACGGTAATGAAGACCTTGGGCTTGGAAAGGTCATGTGGCACCAGCAAAAAGTTCCGCATACCTACCTGGTACGTGCCAGAAAACAAAGAACTTCTTTGTTTTCTGGCACGTACCAGGTAGGTACAAGGAACATTTAAGAAGTACCAGACCGTAATACTGGCGTACCTCCGGTACGTCGTAAGTACGCGAATTATCGCACCCTGCAAGGGGAAATTTTGTGGGCAGACATTACTCCTGAACGGCGTAAAAAGCGAATCCAGTATCGTGTAACTGGGGCCTAAATATTCTTCTTGTACAATTATATATAAGCAGGAGAAAATATCCACCTTGACAGCTCCGCTATTGGCTTCTATGTAAATGACGTCACCAACTTCAACTTTCTCTTTCTGGAGTGTTTCGTATATTGATGGATCCAACTGCAAATTTCAAAACAGAATATAGTATGACTGTATTTACAATTTTATTTAACCAGAAAATTTTATTCAGCATTTGTTAGTTACGTGATGGCGAACCTTGAGCTGCTTTGTTCCTTTGGCAGTTTTCAATCCAATAACAACATGACTCACTGTTTTACCATATCCTAAAAAATCATTCAGGATTCAAGGACTTTTTCTCGCTTTCCAGATGTATTGGAAATATGACAAAACTACTTTTGCCAAGAAGTTGATAAATGTTTTTAAATATCACTTTCAAGTACTGTAATACAGCCATTTTCGTCCAAGCACAAACCGCAAACATTTTCGCGCGTTTGTTTACGTTTGAAACGTGGCGTTTACCGTTGGAAACGGAATGTTTCACTGCTCATGCGACGTGTTATAGTGAAAAGCCTAATTCAGTTATTTTTCATGTTTTGATGTGCTTTCGTGTACTTTTCAGTATTTCCAAGCTCACGATATTGTAAGAGCGACCAAACTTGTTTATATTCATACTTTTTGTGACTAGAACGTATTATCATGGGCTTGGACATATTGAAACGTGCACGGAGGCACATCAAAACATGACAGTTGCGCCAAAAATAGCTTAAGGCTTTTCAATGTGACACGTCACATGAGCGGTGAAACATTTCAGTTTCCAACGGTAAACGCCCCGTTTCAAACGTAAACAAACGCGCGAAAATGTTTGCGGTTTGTACTTGGACGAAAATGGCTGTATCACTATCGACAAAGATCGATATATGCTAAGCACAAAAAAGTTTTGTAATCAATTCTATTTAAACAGAATGTTTAACAGTATCTTACAAACAAATATAGTTTTCCAGGGGTTTTCAGGGGTCACTTTGAAATTCCAGGACTTTTAATTAGGACTAATGTAAAAATCTAGTTTTCCAAGATTCCCAGGGGCGTGGGGCAATTTACACAGCTTCACACTTTCCAAGTTTAGAAGCCACTGTTGTGACAATAAAAGTAAAAACCAAAGCGGGGATTTTTTTACCTCCCAAAGGATTTTCTGTCTCACACGGAGTAAGCTCAGTAACCTCTCCTTCATAAACCTCTTTAGTCTCTTTAATACGTAAACCTATATAACAGAAGAAAGTTAAAAACACCATTTTATAGCACAAACACTAAATTAATAGCCATAACAAAAAAATAAATTTTTGCTGATTTCCAAAAGAATAAACAACTGCAAACGCAACAAGTGAGACAATAAAGTCAAATACTTAAAATATACAAGATAGTCTCGAATGGTTGGTGCCAAACTGCCAGTCAAGGTTCCAACAAAACCAAGACAGCTGTGAATTGAAAGAGATACAACTATCTGAAAAATATTAAGCAGAACTTCAATATTTTTACAAAGGCCCTTCGCGGAGGCTTCGCCATAGCCTAACCTACTAACAGAACTCCCGACGAAGTGGCTTCGCTCAAAATGTTGAAGTTCTGCTTATGTTTTTCAGGTACATAGTTGTACTAGCTCTCTCTGACAAAAATTCCAAAATAGTCTAGTCTTTATTAACACAATTCTATTAAAGCTACAAACGCTAAAATACCGATTGCTCTTCGAAAATTTTCCATCAAAACTTCAGTCTTCTTAATTTCTGCTGAATAGACTTCACTGCCGACCATGGGACAAAATGGAACTTTGGGTCCCAACTCTTGAGCAATAGCCAACGCAAGGGCAGTCTATGATAGAAATATTATGTGCATCGTTAAACTTTGAGGAAGATTTCTCGATAGCCACTCAATCTAAACAGAACAAAGACGTAGTTCTTCTCAAAGTACAGTTACATCTTTTTTCAGTTTCGATTCATTCCCTTTCAAGAAATCTTCCACAAATGAAAATTAAATTGTATTCATCACCCCAGCCTGCCCCCACAGTTTCAGTACATGTATGGCATTTGATGGACAGTTTGAATCAAAGAAAACCGTGCATATTCACAATTAGTGATAAAAGCTTTATTCAACAGATGGGCAACCACATGTATATCTATATTCACTATTCTGATGCAGCATATTTCATCTTATGTTCTAATTATTATGGTAAATACGTAATGCCAACAGTTAGGGACAATAAATGTTCATATACAAGTTATCTAAAGAGTTGCATCCGAAAATCACTTTTTAAAAACACTATAATTATTTATAATTATTCTTTTTTAGCAAAACATTTAATCGGTAAGGCTGGATCTTCATCATTGCAAAAGATGAGCGACAAGAGCTAAGGAGTTCAGTAAGAGGAAATAAACTACATTATTTAGTGAAACCTTAATCATCAAATATTTCACATGATACTTACTTTCCCAGTCCCGGGAGGTCCAGCAAGGAGAATTGCACGACCTGCCATTTTCTTTGATTTAATTAATTCAACTACAACACCACATGCCTATAAGGTGAAATAAAATTTCTAAGTGAATGTTTATTTGAAACTTGGCTGATGATTAGAACTGTTCCATGCAGGTACATGGTAGATGGGAAGTAGGAAGTTACAAAAAATTGCCCGAACATAAAATATTTCCATATCGTTTTCCCTTTAGTTTTCCCATCAGTAGATCACAAAATATTGTACTGTACAGTACCGTCCAAGGGAAACTATACATCGAGTATCGAGCGAGAAACATTCAAGCGAGTATCGAGCGAGACGGTTCTCGAATCGCGTTACCTATCGAATTTCGCGAAACGCTGAGTGCGATTCGAGTCGTCGCGATGCGAATTGAGGAAATTTTCAAGTAACGGGATTCGAGTATCGAGTATTCGCGAAGTGCATGATTTAAATGCGTTATTAAGAACTGCGACGCCATTATGGCACGTTTAATTGTATTTATTTCAGAACTATCCTCAGAGATATGAAAAACTAGTTTCACATTATTCGTTTTTCATATTCACTGATGCAGTTCAGATTAATTGTATATACCCATGCACGTGTTCCGTTTTTATACTGTAAGAGTAAATGTCGTGTATTAACGATTTAAAACAGCAGTTTGCCCTTTACATACCTTTTCCTTCTAAGTTTTTAATTGGCGAGTTTGTATATATTAACGTTTACAACAACAAAGCGCAGAGATGAAGACTTTGACGAGATTTGCAATAAATTTATCAACGGGAAATAAAACAGAAATATTTTATATAAGAATGATATACCTAGTACTGAAAGAAGGCTACAGTATACTTGCTATGCAGGCATGCCAATGCTGGTACTTCGTTCTTTAAAACTGCTACCAGTCTTCTCATTCAATGGACCAATCCCCAATTAATCAAAATTTTGAACTCAACAAGTCTAGACAAAAATTTCATCACAGCTTGAAAGAGCATCACAAAATTAGTGATATTCCAAAGTTTCGTTTTAAACTGTTGTAAAATGCGGATAATATAGCCCTGCGAAGTTTGCAATTTTCAGTCATTTTAGATTACAAACGGGTGATGGTTACCACTTCCGTGCGTAATACAAAATGACTGAAAATTACAAACTTTGCAAGGCTATATTATCCGCATTTTACAACATTTCGCAACGAAACTTTGGAATATTACTAATTTTTTGTGACGCTCTTTCATGCTGTGATGAAATTTTTTCTAGACTTGTTGAGTTCAAAATTTTGGTTTAAAAATTGGGGATTGGTCCATTGGTTAAACAGCAAATTAAAATGTACGCATACCGTAACGGCGTAGTTTTTCTCATTTCACATGTTTCTCACTGCCCGCCATCACAAACAAACAAACAAACAAACAAACAAACAAACAAACAAACAAACAAACAAACAAACAAACAAACAAACAAACAAACAAACAAACAAACAAACAAACAAACAAACAAACAAACAAACAAACAAAACAAAACAAAACAAAACAAAACAAACAAGGCAAACAAACAAGGCAAACAAACAAACAAACAAACAAACAAACAAGGCAAACAAACAAACAAACAAACAAACAAACAAACAAACAAACAAACAAACAAACAAACAAACAAACAAACAAACAAACAAACAAACAAACAAACAAACAAACAAACAAACACAAACGTATATTTCATCCGATCGATTTGCATTTCAAAACCGGTCAAATAACTGGCATGCAAATGGCAAAAATGTAACACTTTCTTTACTGTATGTGACAACAGGGGTGGATTTATAGCTAGGGGTGCACAGGGGTGCGCACCCCTGTTGGCCTTGGTCAACAGCGGCAAGCAAAAATCAAGTTAAAAAATATGACATAATTCCCAAGGTTTTTCCTTTTTGAAGTCAAACTGAAGCTCATAATTCAATGCCCGTATTGCAGGAAATTACATTTCTAGGGTTCTAATTTTCAAAATTTTTGGGGGGCATACCCCTGAACCGCCCAGGGAGCTTGCGCCTTCGGCACTTGAGTCGTTAGGAAGCCAATTAATTTGAATGCTTTCCCACCACACCCTAAAGAATTATAAAGAAACTCTTGGCTGCTCACCCAGCACCCCCCTAGAAAACAATGCTGGATCCACCCCTGTGTGACAACAATCCTAAACCGCCACACAACCGAACAATACTCTCAGGTACCAATACAAAATAACACAATATTGTAGTAGCTACTTCTCTGTTAATATAAAAAAAACATGACTTTGTCTTCATTTCGGACAAGGTGCGTATTTTGATCAGGTGTAAAACAGCATGAATTGTGTCTTATTTTTTGTTTTATGTAGTTGATATTGTCGTACTTTATTTTTGTTGTCATACTTTATTTTTTGTTATTATTGTTATTAATCGGTTATTAATGGATCATTAAGGTTGTTACAGGCTTTTTGTCTGTTTTGTTATTGAGTAATTAAAATTATTTCACTTCCTCAAAGCATTCATTCGGTTTGAATCTGAGTGTGTATTACTGCTTCATTGACGTTTCAACTCTGAGAGCATTGAGTTTCTATTACAAAGGTTTGTTTATAAATTATTTGGCTTTGAAATATTGAAAGAGTTAACACGATTCATGTCATTTTCGAATTTTGACGCTTCATTAAGCCTAAGGTGAAATCTGTAAAAAATTTATGTACAGACAGTGCTGCGAGACATCTACTGATAGAACGTAAAAGCATATAGCGTCTTAAAACCATATCTTGTGTCTCAATCGTTTAGTAAAAACAAGGTAAGACTTCCATTTGCCGACATGTTGAATAACTAGCCTTTATGTTTGTGTGATGTTACTCTGAGTGTATATCCACACCGGGCAGGCTTGAAAAATATGCCTGGCCACGGCGGGATTCGAACCTACGACCTTTGGAATACTAGCCCAATGCTCTTGGTCATTGGTCTAGCCCAATGGTCTCGAACCTACCAATGGTCTAGCCCAATGGTCTCGAACCTACGACCTTTGGAATACTAGCCCAATATCGCATACTCGAACCGTCCTGACCGCGTAGCTCAGTTGGAAGAGCATTGGGCTAGTATTCCAAAGGTCGTAGGTTCGATCCCGCCGTGGCCAGGCATATTTTTCAAGCCTGCCCGGTGTGGATATACACTCAGAGTAACATCACACAAACATCTTATTCACCTGAGTACATTACACCAACACAGCAGATAACTAGCCTTTATGTTTTTTGCTGCCGTGAAGTTTTTGCTCTTAAGCGATATATCGAGCGCGATTCGTGTTTCGCGAAAGCATTAAACAAATTATTCGAGAGAGTCATTATGTGTAACGAGCGAACCCCTTGCAAGGTTTCACGTCTCGTTCCTCCCTCGAACATTCTCGAAACTTGCTCGAAAAAAGTATAGTTTCCGTTGGACAGTACTGTAGATAGACATCAAAATATTTTATATTGGGTCATTCCAGAAAAGATCCATACCCGGCAAAAGTGACGTGAAAGTTTTCAAATGATTTCGCTCCAGCATAGTGTGAAAGCGATGGCTTATTGCGACTTTTCTACGCTGTTTTCAAATAGCTCCAGCGTGGCAGAACACTTGGCAGCTTCTTGTGAACACAAACATGTGGCAGGTTTTGTCGGATAATTTGCAGAAATTCACTTCGAAATTCGATGAAGTAAAATTCGGACTGAAATTCGCTGTAACTTGCGAATGATTGACAAGCGCTGCTGTGTTTACTTAGGCCAAATAAAAAATATGTGGGTTTCCGGTTTCCCGACCCTACCTAGTCTTTTGGACGTCGAAATCCCGACCCTAAACTTTTTTATTGGATCACGCTTGTAAGTGTTTCCACTTAGAGCAAAACGTTTGTGGAAAATGAAAATTTGAGGCAATATTAGGGAAATTTATGTTTGGATGTGGAAGCACTGACTAAACAACTTGGCATCCGGTTGTTAGGAAAATTTAAAAAAAAGTTAAAAAAAAAAGAAGTTAAAACCGACCTACCCTACCTAAGTTTTTACAAGAGGAAACCGGAAACCCACATATTTTTTTTTTGGCCTTACATGTCAATGCATTTTTTAGTATTTATACTGCATTCCTTAATTAACCTCGCCCTTAATATGACAACCATGATGGTCATGTCATGTGGGGCATGTGGCTATTCCATTTATTATCTGTACAGGCCTTAAAATATCTTTTACAGGGCTGTCTGACAAAATGTCCGATGACGTTTTGACTCGAAAATAAGTCTGAATGACACAAATGAATATCAGCACAATGTATTAATTCTGAACGGCAAATGTTGCGAAGTCGTACTTATTTCCAAGCCAAAATTAACTCGCTTTCCAGAACAGCAGTATTAAAAAAGACTACGAGCCCGTTTTCGAGTACATTAAAACAACATTTCCAGTTCACCTTTTATCCCCGAGGCGGCGCGAAGCGCCGTGCGAGGGTACTAATTCCCCCTGGCTATTTACACCCGGGGAAACGAAAGCATTAGCGAAGTCTAAAGTTCATCAATGAGCGCGGGCGTCAGTCACCAACGATGGGTGGTCATCCTCACTGATCTCAAAAATATGGCAGATTGTCATGAATAATGGACACTGATTGGTCCAATTTAAAGTTTGCATTATAACGACTGCATGACGACAGCGAAATAGCAAACATTTCTTGATTTGATGATTGATAAATTTCTTGCAAATATATTTCATTTTTGCTCGCATTTTTGCAAGATTTTGTAAATTTCAAGAAAGAAAGGGCGAAAGAATCAGCTAAAAGAAGGGAGCCGACGTTAACGAAGGTAAGTTTGTTTTAAATATTGATTTTATAATGGCTTTAAAACCCGACGGCCTTTGCGTATATGAAACAACTAAACAAGACAGCATATATAAATTTCAGTGTAACTTTAATATTGATTCCCTTTTTTATTATATTGAATTTTTTAAATAAAAAATAAAGCAAAGACCAAAGTTATTTGCAAGCGAGAATTTGAAATCATTTTATTGCAAAGTCAAAGTTTAATAGTTAAAAGCAGTTTAGTTTTATATTAAAGAACACTTTAAAACATAGACGGATTTTGTGGGGGGGTGCAGGGGGGGGTGCTACCCCCCCAATATTAGCTATAACCCCCCCAAACAAAATGTCCACCCCTCCAAAAAAATTTTCAACCCCCCCAATATTCGGCATAATAAAAAATAATTAAATAATCCACTCCAACGTGCAGAGTGTTGATGATACAAAATAAACGTAGGAGTACACTCAAATAGAAAGCAATATTATTGGAGCAATTGTAAAGTTTGGAAACTCTATTATCTCCCCTGAATAGAGTTTGCAGTGCCTTGTCATGCAAATAGCTTGCTTGCAAGGAACGTTTGGAATTTTTACAAACATTATTTTTCGTTTTTAATTCTTTTAGGTTTGTAATTCGTTTTTAATTCTTTTTAATTTTTTAATTCGTTGTTTATAAAAGTAAAAGCATATTGTGTATTGGCCTATTGCCGGTTTACACTTTTACAGGTTCATTTAACTTTAACTCTCTCAAGTCTCAACAGACAATCGGACACAGGGCCGTAGCGAGGGGGTGTTGGGGGGTGTGGGTGTGGTTAACCCCCCAACTTTTGTAGAATTAACATATTTGGAAAATCGGGTTGGCCATTCGGAAAATTACGGCAATAATAGTATAACAAAATTTTAATTGTTTAATTAAACAGAAAAAATATTATAATATTATAATCAGTATAAAATGATTTACGAAATCACGGCATTTACATGGATAACGTTTAACAAATCGTAAATCGGTAAATTTTTTTTCGGTTTCAGTACTTCTCAGGGCCGTAGCAACCGGGGGGGAGGCAGCACCCTTACAATAATTTGCTGATAATCAGTCTTTTTTCAAAATCATGCACACCTTTATCATTTAAACAATTGATTAATTTTAAGCGGCTACATTATCCATGACAAACCGCAAAGAATTATATTACCCATACTCTTTCCTGCAGCTTCTCCAAAATATAGCTAAATACGACTTCGCCCATTTAATTCTGCTAAATTGTAAGCAAATTGTAAATTTCGACATGCTAAAACTCTATTAACAACTCAAACCGACTTTACCACGTAGCTCAATTGGCAGAGCATTGGACTAGCATCCCAAAGGTCGCGGGTTTTATTTCCACCGTGGGCAAGCTAACTTTTCAGCTTGCCCGGTGTGGATCAGTGGATGCATACTCAGAGTAACATCACAAACATCATATTCACTTGAGTACACAACACCAACACACACACATAAATCATATCAAAGATTACACTGATGTCGAAGGAACTAGATTCAGTTCCGAAATATCAACAAGTCGAACCGACTTGACCACGTAGCTCAGGTGGGAGAGCATTGGACTAGTATCCCAAAGGTCGCAGGTTCGACTCCCACCGTGGCCAGGCACACTTTTCAGCTTGCCCACTGTGGATGCATACTCAGAGTAACATCACAAATATCATATTAAAACTCTGTTTTCTGACCATCAGAATTCTGTCAAAACTTCCCCCAAAGTCCAGGAAATGGCATTTCAGAGAATCTAAATTTAAAAATTTCCTCGGGCCTTCGGCCCTCGTTCCCAGCCCCCAATCAAAAAGAGCTTCCTACGGCACTGCATACTTCTGTAATATGTCTTTGTGGAAACTATGTGGGCTATGTGTATTTTTGTTTGTAAATTGCGTCTTCATTTTCCAGATAGCAAACACCTTCGTTGCTTCGTATGCCATGAAATATTCGGAAATTTTTTTCGTCATTCGGAAATATTTGGCCTACACCCCCCACCCCCCAACTATACATGCTAGCTACGGCCCTGATCGGACAGGCCAAATCCATTGATATGACAACTTCAAAAAACGTTTTTTCGAAGCTAGAAATCATGATTTTTTTCAAATTTTTCCAGGGATACTTTGTTTTCTGCTCTCTAGACTCCCCCTCGCGGCTCTAGTGCTCCACCCCTAGAATATAGACCTTACTGGGGTTTGGTGACACTTTGTGTTGCTTCAGTCACCTGCTCACGGCTCACCCCCCTAAAATTTCTGGCACCACCCCAGTAAAAATATGAAAATCCGTCTATGTGCTACTGTGTACAGGAAAATGTTTATTTAAAAACTTGATCAACAAGAACAGCTTAGGAAGACAGGTTATACAGAATTGAACAATCCCACTATGGGTGCAACAACATATGGTTGACAGACATTCCTTGAATTTAAAACCATGGTCAGCTAGAACACTATATTAAGTTTACGCACATGCAGATTTAGCACAAAAATTATTACTCTAATACTAATAAAGGAAATTTTTGTCTCCAGGTTGTGCTCCCGGGAACCTGGCTTCTCACTCAATTCAATAATAGTTGAAGGGTCTTGTATAGAGGGATATTTAATAAATGTATATAAATTTCCACTCAATAATTTTCATCTGTACAAGACCTTTCAAACAGGGTCAGCCCTGCAAACCAGGCACACATAAACTGGCCTGGATCCTTGCAGATGTCATCATGGCTCCAACCCTCACAAGTTCAGGTTGTTTGGCAAGGGTTGGAATGTTGGGAGCTTTACCACTTAATAACAGCAAAGCCATAAATTCAAGCCAAGTATTTATATATTGGTCTATTGCAGCAATAAAGCTAATACAATCATTGAATCATGAAATGTATTGTGATTTTCAACAGTACAAAATAGAATCGAAAAAGCTCCTCCTTTACTTAATTTTTATATCCCAATAATTCAAGCTGCAAAACATAATTACTCAAAGACAACCCAAAATATGGTATTAAATTGCAAATGGCAAATACATTTACATATAGAAAATATATTATTCACTTTAATACGAAGAACTATCACGATATACTGTACATGTAAGGTCCGTTTCATGTGAAAATGAATTTCCTTATTTCCTTGTTATATTCTTCCAACTTTCAAACGTATTCTTTGGCCCATATTTCGTCAGTGTACACATTTTCATGCTCGATGAACAGACCTCTCAACTCACACGATTTCGTCGTGTGACACACGATTTTAAGCCTTATCTCACGATCTCACGCCAAGGCATTGTTTTCACACGACTATAGTCTATAGGTACTGGTCCAACGCATTGAAGAGGTCTAATGTTCAGCAATTTATCCAGGGATTGCGTGGTTGTATTTTTAACCGCTAAACTAGAAGTTCTTTTGTTTCTTTTTCGTAAAACACTGATATGCGCTATTGCGCTAAATTTAAGTAATTTTCCCGAAAAGACAATCGCGATTCGCGCAAAAGTGCGTTCCTTTGTTGCTATGAGAGTGGGAACTACAAACTTTGAATTCAAAATGGCGTCCGAAGAATATTTTAAGAAATTAAGATAAATTTATTTGGCAAATTTATGGATGAAATAGGCACGTTAAGTAACCACTCGGACTCTGAACAGGAAAGCTCAGAATTCGAGTCCAGGCCTACTTCAAACGAAGAAACAGATGCATGTTTGTCTCCCCCCAGACAAAAAAAAGCAAGGAAGTTATCTGGTGCAGCCACTTACAAAACGAAGTTCAATGCAAATTGGAAGAAAGAATATCCATTTATTACTTCTGTTCAAGGTGATCCGTACAGGTAATGCCTAATAGTAAACTGTACTTAGTCTCTTAAGTCAGATCATAGTTAAATTAATTAAATCACGTCATTTATTAAAATATCAAGAAATCCGGAATGACATTTATTATTTATAATTTAGGTTTCGTTGTAACACATGTGACAAGAAAGTAAAATGTGGCCACATGGGGAAACAGGATATTATTAAACACTGCAACACGAAAAACCATGTAGCTATGTTGAAAGCACTTGCTAATCAGCAAAAGCTCTCATTTCATACACCAGAAAGATCCGAAGAATTGAAAAGGACTGAAGCGGAACTACAAATGGCTGTTTTGACTGCTAGCTCTAATGTACCATTAGCATTTCATGATAACTTGTCTCCAACAATAAGACGAGTATTTCCTGATTCAACAATTGCATCTAAATACCGTTCTGCCTCTTGTATGCTCAATGAAGCTGTTGCACCAATGTTAATAGAGGATTTACTACAAAGCATGAAGCTCCATCCTTTTTCTCTCTCTGTCGATGGTTCAAATGACGAAGGCTTGGAGAAAATGAATCCTTTAACAGTTACAATTTTTTATACAAATGCTAATAGAATTGTAACTCGATTTTTAGATATGTGCACATCAAGTTCTGCTACTGCTGAAGGCATTTTTACTGTAATTGATGAAAAACTGACAAAGTTTCTTGAATGTGCACAGCCATGGAACTTGTGTACTTCTGTTGGTGTTGATAACACATCTGTTAATATTGGTATTCGGAATTCACTGAAGACCAGAGTACTGACCCGCAATCCTGCAATTTATTTTAATGGCTGTCCATGCCACATTATCCATAATGCAGCCCAAAAAGCAGCAGAATCATTTATGGAATGCTGTGGATTTGATGTTGAAGAGTTTACCATTGACCTTTTTTACTGGTTTGATAAGTCAACTAAACGAAAGAATGGACTTCGAGACTACTGCACATTCTGTAATCACGAGTATAGAGCTGTAGTAAAACATGTTTCAACACGGTGGCTGAGTCTAGAGCTTGCTGTGCAGAGAAGCCTGAAACAATTTCCTGGCCTGACCTCCTATTTTAAGTCAGAGAATGAGCAACAAGCCAGATTTAAAAGGCTTCAGAAGGCTTTTAATGACCCGATGACTGAAGTCTATCTGTTATTCTTCCAGTCCATTATGCCAAGCTTCACCCATTGTAACCAATTCTTGCAACAAGAAGAACCTCTGATCCATGTCTTACAGCCACAGTTGGAAAGAATGCTCAGGAACATCCTTGCCAAATTTGTCAAAGCATCAGTTATCGCAGAACATCTGAGAGCAGGTACATTAACATCTATAGATTTCAAGAATGATGAGAATCATGTTGGCAATAATTGCTTATCAGTTGGATTCTTGACAAAACAAAGTCTGGACAAGCTATTGAGAGAAGGTGACATCTCACCTCACCAGTATGCCAAATTCTTCATGGCAACAAAGGCCTTTTTAATTGGAGCTTCAGAGTACCTGCTAAAGTGGTGCCCTTTAGAAGACGAGCTGTTGATGCATGCCACCTGGATTGACTTTCAACACAGATTGGAAAAGAGTTTTATGTCTGTTGGGTATTTTGTTGCAAAGTATCCCGAAATATTTCCTGACATGGATTTGGAAAGCTTAAACGAGCAATTCTTGAACTACCAGTTGTTGCTGGAAGAAGATATTCCAGCAGAGGTAAAAGAAGTTGCCAAATGTGCAGAAGATGATCCACATTACCGAGTTGATATTCTTTGGGGGTATCTGAAGGGTGTGAAGAAACCAGGTACAAATTCACTTGAGTTTGATCTTCTCTTCCGTGTTGCTGAAGTTGTTATGACCATACCACATTCAAATGCAGGGGAAGAGAGAATATTTTCTCTCAAACAAAAATAAAACACCAAGTCGCAGCTCCCTTGAGCTTAATGGCACACTTTCCTCTTTAATTGTTGTGAAAACCCACATCCAAGATCCTCTAAATTGGCAACCATTGAGGTCTCTCATTGAAAAAGCGAAGAAGTCGACAAAGTTGTATAATGACAAACATAAATGAGCTCTTACAGTTGAACAGCAAATAGTTAATATACAACTTTTCACTTTGTCAAAATAACAGTCAGTTTTGTTATGGGATCCTGGCCATTGGAGTATTTTCCTAGTTAGCACAAGATTGTTTGACATAATTGCAATATGTACATCATTCTTGCAACTATTATATAGACTCTCAGACTCAGTTACAATACATACATTATTCTTGTTATTCATTTATCATAATGGTTTAGTGTTTTGACCTTTAATTAAAAAATAGATGTATATTTAAAGTAATATATGTTTCATAACATGTAAACAGACTATATAATGCTTAAAACTTGAAACATTTTTGGTATTACAAAACTTTCCCGGAGTATATCAATTTATTTGAATTGAAACATTGAGATAAGGGGGGGGGGGGGTCAAGTTCCTTGAAACTTCGCCGCTAATCTCACTACAAAGTCTGATCTCAAGTTGAGAGGTCTGTACGAAGCTAGATGCCATCTACGAAGGAGCACTTTCAAATTTGATTTTGAAGTGGTTTTGTATGTTTCACCTTCAATTTTATATCCAGCGCAATCGTAGGAACTTTTTTCAGTACCAGAGGACGATTTTGAGCTTAATAAACCAACGTTTCTTGCAAAAATTCTCACTTTAGTAAGTTACAGCGTCAAAATATAATACAATTCTATTATTTCGATAGTGTTTGTTTACGCTCGCGTTCCTGAGTCCCAGGCCCCCAAGCACGACAGATTTTTTTGAAAATTGTCATGTTTGAGGGTCAATATCTCGGAAAATACTGAACCAAATCAAAAAAGGTTGAAGAACTTACAAAGTAACTTTTTGTGCTCTTTCCAAATCCGTAAATATCCCACAAGTGATATAGGCACTTTAAAAAATTATACTAAAACAATTATTCGCCAATTATTCGGTAATCACTTTGCCTTTGGTGAATAATTGTTAATTAATATATATTCTATATACTTTTTACTATATAGTGAGTTATTTTAGTTAGATATGAGTATTAAAATGAAAAGTTACCTCACAATTTTACTGTAAGTATCCTCCCAAATGTGACAACTTGGTTTTAAAAACTTACTAGAAAATACATGCATGCAGCAACCCCTCGCCTTTCTTAACAGATAAAGTATAAAAATTCCGCATAAAGTATTAAGACCATTATAAACAAATATAAAAACACAACTGATGTGCTAGCTTTATAATGAACGATAACATTCACTGCAATTTCATGCATACCAGCTTGCATTAAAGTGAATTATCGAGTTAAGAATGGCTTAAAAATTTCGGAGATACAAATAAAACCAACAACACAAAGCAAGTATGGCATGGAATTTTACTACTGAAATGTTTACACTTACCCAAACTGGCACAACAATGATTAAATTATCAAAAACATAAAAACAATTATTATACAAACTCTGTTTCACAGTTGAACAGCTACTAATTCATGAAACTGCAGGCTTATTTCCAGTTAAATTTGAGAAAAAAAAAGTGTTGTACTTTTGTAAACTTTTTAAAATTAAAAAAAAAATTGCTGTAAAACAGCAAAATCGACAGAGTTTGTACTCGCGCATGCGCATAATGTCGAAAACCGTACATGACATAAACAAAATGGAGGACAACTTTGCACTCTGCTATGTTTTCAATACCCGGGTATAATTAGCTGTGCAGAATTTAGTACCCTTGCACGGTGCTTAGTGCCACCAGCTTGGGGAAAAAGTGGGCTAAATGAAGGCGCAATCTGATTGGTGGATAGAATGGAAACAATATTAACATTAATATGAAGTAAATAAATTTGAATATACAGTACCATTACACATGTAAAGTAATAGATATTTTATTTACCTATATTAAAGATCAGAATTTAGAATCCTAAAATTGCCCTCGTAAAGCTGTATAATACATAAATTATAAGTTTTGATTTGTGGAACACAAATGAAAATGGTGTCTATACGCATCAGCCGTATATAAGTGGGAGCACATTTTCATGATCTTACTAAAATATCCTCAATCTCACCTGACAACATATTATCTCTAGTCTATGTTTAATTATGAAGGGGGTAGATGTACATATGAAAAAGGGTTAATCAACCCTTTTTAATTAACCAGGTAGTGCACAATATGCCGGTCCTAATAAAATTCTTCTCATACTGCTATACCACCAGACAATTTTACATGTATGTATATGTATAATGCAAGCAAGACACTTAACAAGTTGACTGCCAGGGTTTCCATTAATTTTTTTCTTACATTCTTTATTGTTGCATATCGGGTACGTGTTTACAGAGACATTTAGTATCTCAGGACAGCATATAATATTATCTCCATTTTTTGGCATAGCTACAACATCCTGCTTTACTGCTTCGACAACAGTTGTTGTACGTCTGGTCACAGAATAAGGAAACAAACCAGAAGGGCACTCCTTTTGATGTTAGGCAGTCACACCGACATATATCTGCATACACCCGCAAGCGGCAGCCATGTTCTTGGGTAGTAAAGTGAGAGAAGTTTGCTATAAACAATATGGCAAAAACCATATAAGTGAACTATTTTCGTCTGTTTTATGAATATTTTGAAGAAAAGGTAAGCGACTTTTTATTTGTCTAGTCTGGTAGCATAATTATTTTTTTCTGGTACAATTTAGTTGCGAATTTTGTTCGGGAGTATGAAAGCTCTTATGACAGCTCATATAAATTTTTTTTTTTAAATAATTTGTCCAAATTATTTTACATATAATTGCAATTTAATATATGTTTATGCAAACAAAATAAGAACTTATTTTAAAATAGCATACCGGAACAGATACACCGAAATGATTAGTATATTTTGATAAATTTTCGAATTTCAAATCAATATTGCATTAGCAAATACTGTACAAAGTAAGGAAAAATAAATAAATTCAAATGTCAAAGGTATATCTTACTGTAATTTATCTAACAACTTGTATTCGACTGTTTTATTTTATGTGTCTTTATGGTACATTATTGAATGGTTCTACAACTTACAAGACTTTAGTATCAAGTTTATATCAGGGTACATTTGTGTATAAAGAATTGTTAATTTCTAGCAGCCAGCTACATTATTTATATGTTGTCAATCTACTTTAATATATATAAATATTGTGGATCCTTCTTTTCTCTTTGATCTTAAAATAAGTAAATGTATTATTCACTTTGTTTTATTAAGCTGCCAAGCTTCTCCATTGACAAGTAAAATTGTCTGGCCTTAGACAAGTAAAAAACTAAATGGGGCGCATCGGGATGCATTGCCGCTCAATGGGTTGACTGTCCAGAGACATTGTCAGATTTTTTGGTTAACCCATTATGCTGCAGAGTTTCCCGCTCCTCTCTAATAAAACCCATATACAAGCTCAAGCTTTAATTTCGCTTCTAATAAGATAATTTTATAAAGAATGGTTCTCCATCCACTTTTTTACACCTGGCTTATTACAAGTTTTCTTAGGTCATATTAATTTAGACTCCCTCTCCAAAACACACCCAAAAATATATATATATATCCTGCAATGATGTCTTGCTAAAATAGAAAAGAGTTTGTAGTCTATAATGTCTACTTATAAATTTATGAAGCCAAAAGCATCTCATTTTTAAAAAAAAATTTCTTACCTTCCAACATCCAAGGGAAATCGAAAAAAGCTTAGGGATTTGTCGCATAATTTATTGTTGGAGCATTGACTGCAGAACACCAATGCAAGCCTGTGATTTTGCCTTTCTTTGTCATAATATGAAAATTTCTTGTATGAAAACACATTTATTGATGAACTGGTTTCAAATGAAGATGAATACATTTCTATCTCAAGATTACATATAATATATACTTTACTCGTATTTACACAATTCTTACAGTTGGTATTTTGGGCACAGCTGGAAGACTTTTTTTGTACTTACAATATACATAGACATAGCAATAAAATGAATAAATAACTTTCAATGTTGTAATACATAATCTTAAAACCAGATGACTCATCATCCTTTTAATTTCAAAATTGTTTTGCATTGTGATTAGGTGAAGGCCGTAACAAGACGCAATAATTTGGGGAGGGGTGCATATTCATATATTCATGTTCACATACCATAAAAGCAATCGATTTCAAAAGAAATCTTATTCGTCTGGCAGAACACACATATATGAACATGCAACCCCCCCCCCCCAAATTATTGCGTCTAGTTATGGCCCTGCGTACCCTGGATTCCAGAGCCTTTAGTAAATAATAAATTGAAACGTTGTGAAGGCTCTGGTTCAATGGGAGGATTCTTTGATTAAACTGTGCCAATTACAAAACAGAATTAGTTAATTCTGTTTTATGATTGGCACAGTTTAATCAAAGAATCCTCCCATTGAACCAGAGCCTTCACAACGTTTCAATTTATTATTTACTGAAGGCTCTGGAATCCAGGGTAGGCCCTGGGCAGAGTAATAGAAAAGTGAAGGGGTGGTTCATTGCTACTAAATGTTTTAAGATGACCTAACGAAGGTAGTATATTGGAAACCAAACCTGCCAAGAATGGGCTGAAACAATATGACTTGTCCAACTCACATTAGGGTCAGGCACATAAAAACTTACATGTTTGAACTAGACCAGAGTCTATCCGGAGTAGTTTTAAGCAAATCAAATTAAATACTGTCAACCAAATGAAAGTAACAACAACCATTTTAAGTTTCTTTGCGATTGTAAACCTTAAATAGTCCTTTCTTTCTCAATTTTCTGATTTTAAATGTCTTGTATATTCCAGTAACACTCTATAATCCACATGTTATTTTTTAAGCTCAAGAAATCTGTACTGTTTTAAGCAATTTTTTAGCACTTTTCAAGAGGATAACTCCAAAATCAACGTCAATTTGAGTTCTTACAGTACTCTTCGATTCTTATGCGGACTGGTTCTCCAGGAACGCTTAAGTAGGCCTGCAATTTTGAACTACAAAACAGTTCTGAAATGTCGGATAAAATTGAAGCTCTGATTAAGAAAATTTCAAAGCAACCCAGAAATGACATCGTGGCAGAGTTAATTGGGAAGGGAGATATTGACAGCTTGACGCAATTTAGATTAAAATTGGTCGAGAAAGGGAGACAATTTGAGACCTTCCCAAAAGGTGACCCTTATATTAGAAGAAAACCGAAAGGATGCAGCAAGTTCTCGACCTTGGAAGAACATTTGGCAAATGATATTTGTGAAATACACGAGTACTTTAATACCGGGGTTGTCACAATGGGGTTAAAGGACATGTTCAAAAACGAAAATGGATCATCCAATCTATCAGTTGTCAGTGAAGCAGGTGTGGTAAACACAATTCACTGGTGTAGTGATGCTGAAGCTGGTGCAGAGAAACCACTCAGTCAAGTTACCCCAAGTCAAGCAGATGGTTTGTCAACACCTGGTGAAGCGAGGAAATGTTGGAAGTCGAGAGACCTTACACAAAGTCTAACAGATACGTTTTGCCAGGTGAATTCCAATTCACATCCAGTCACCAAAACCAAACATTCGGATGAGAAAATGTCCTGCAAAGACATCCTAGTCTTAGTAAAAAACATGAGAGCAGAACTCCTTGCAGTTAGGGAAGAATGCGCTGAATCAGTGAAAAGATTTGAAAATAAAGTTAATGAACTCAATTCTGTGTTGGAAGCTAGAGATTCAAAAATCCAAACGTTGGAAACTGAGATATCAAGCCTCAAAGGCAATCAAAAGTCATTCACGAGCAGTTTAAAGAGGAAATAAAGGGAAATGCTGAAGAGCTAACTTCTCTAAAGGGCAAAGTAGAGACTATGGGAAACAAAGTCAGTAACACAAGTAGGGATCTCGACCGTATCAAGAATAAGCAACACCAAGGACATGGTGAAAGCAATTTAAGTAAATGGAAATCCTCAAAGAACCCAGTGGCGGAACCCCAGAGCATAGATGCAAATCCGTCAAAACACGGAAAAGGGGCAGATCCAGTAGAAAATAACAGAAAACCGGACACTCAGGAAGTGGAGACCTTAAAGACTACCACAGTCAAGAAAAGCCTCGTACAAAAGGATAGAGCGCAAGCAGAGATCACGCAAGGTGGCGGACAACTTAACGCACCTAATGAATCAGGGAATAAAGTAACAGGACGAAACACAATCCATGAGAACAACGAGACAAACAACGTGAACGATGTTCAATTTGTTGGTGTTGAAAGACAAAAGATAAAACGTGTATTCCTTGGAGGCATAAGAGAAGGCGTTAGTTCAGAAAAGATCAGAGAGTACATGATGAAAAGGAACATAAATCCAACATTCGTACGCTTGATGCAAAGCAAAAGGAAAGGAACAACATCCGTTCGTATAAACTTCGTCGCTAAAGATTTCGATGTTGTGAAAGAGACACCTTTCTGGCCTGACGGAGTATATGCTAGACCCTGGTTATCGCTAGCTAAATGGCAAGACCGTCTGTCCACGAAAGAACCACAACTCTTGGACAGGACACACAGATCCAAACCGGAGACCAATTCAACCTGAACAAGTTAAACATCGGGCAAATAAACATTTGTAGTTTGAAGAATAAGATGGATGAAGTGAAAATAATGCTTGAAAGAAACCAATTTGATATACTAGCTGTCTGCGAGATGCATCTTAGCAAGAAAATAGGTAACAGACAACTACAAGTTGATGGATATCGAACCATTCAACGAGATTGTCCCGATGGCAGAAGGGGGGGTGGAATGGTGGTCTTTGTATTGAAAACTCTGACTGCAGTACACTTGAAACATTTGGATCATGAGAAGATAGAAGCTATATGGCTAAGAATAGTAACCAAATCAAGCTCGGTGACAATAGGTTCATTCTATAGATCCCCGGACAATATGGCTTTCTTCGAAGATATAGTAATACCTTTAGAAAAAGCTTGGTACAAATACAAGAACTTAGTTTTGGTGGGGGATTTCAACGTCAATTTCAGCAAAACAGCACACGGACATGAGCTAAGACTACAAGAAAAACTTATGTCTGCGCTTGTTCAATTTGACTGTTCCGTCATAAACAAAGATTTCACAAGGGTAACGCCTACCACAGAAACAATGATCGACTTGATAATCACAAACAAAGCCGATTTGGTGGAAAATATTAAAACAGCAGACACTGGAATATCCGATCACAATCTAGTATCCTTCTCTATGGATTTTAACCCAAGAAAGGTGCCTCCCAGGATAGTAACTATAAGAAACTGCAAGAAAATGGAGATAGAAAAATTCAAGTTGGATCTACAAAATGCTCCATGGTGTACTTGTGAAATGTTCGACGATATCGAAGACAAGTGTTCAGTATGGACAGATATATTCAAAGATATATGTGAAGAACATGCGCCAAAAAGAAAAGTTAAGCTTCGACGACAAACATTGCCATGGATGAGACACAAAATGAACAGGAGATACAAGGCTTTGCAGAAAGCAAAGAAAGAAAGAAACAACGAAGGACTGTGGAAAGAATACCGGAAGTTGAGGAATGAGGTGACAGCAGAATTAAGGAGAGCTAAATCAACCTACTTTGCGGAGCTTGCAAATTGTCAAAAAATAAACACACGGAAGTATTGGAAAATTCTAAATCAAGCCAGTGGGAAGGAATCAAACATGAAGACCATTCGTGCGATTAAGTCAGATACTGGCGCATTGGTCACAAATGATAGAGAGATAGCAAATATATTGAATAAGCATTTCGCAACTACAGGAGAAAAGTTAGCAGGTCTCTTAAACAGCCACTACGTGCCAACAGTAGAGCTCATTGATCGAATATCCCCAACCGTTATGGAAATTGAAATACAGGAAGAGAATGTAAAAGAGAACTTGTTAAGGCTCAATACACATAAAGCGACTGGCCCAGATGACTTGCCACCGATTTTGCTGAGAGCAGCTGCCGAAGAAATTGCACCATCATTGACAGATATTTTCCAAACAAGTGCAAGGACTGCTACTCTACCCAGTTTGTGGAAGGTGGCAAGAATAGCAGCAGCACATAAAAAAGATGATGAGACAGACAGAGATAATTATAGACCATTATCCATGCTGTGCACTCCAAGCAAATTAATGGAGAAGGAAGTACACAAAACCTTAGTTAACCATATTGATATCAATCCTGGTTTACTAAATCCAAATCAGTGGGCATACAGGAAAAATAGTTCAACGGAAGCACCGTTGTTACATAGGACAGAGATATGGAGGAAAGCAGTCGACAGCAATAGAGTGGTGGGAGTTGTCTTCATCGACTTTAAGAAGGCTTTTGACTCTGTCCCTCATCACCAACTACTGCTAAAGTTACAGCGGGCAGGCATCTCTGGAAATTTGTTGTTGTGGATCCGAAACTACCTCTGTAACCGACGCCAATTCACTAAAATAGGACTGTGCGATTCTGAAAGAGAGGGTGTTGACTACGGGGTGCCACAAGGATCAGTCCTGGGGCTCCTATTATTCGCACTCTTTTGCGATGATCTTCCGGACTGTGCACGGCACGATGATGAAGAATTAGAAATGTACGTTGATGATACGACCTTGACTAGTATAGGCGAAACAGTTGACCAAGTAATCCTCAAACTAAATGAGACATTAGGCCTTGTGAGTAAATGGTGTTACAAAAACGGAATGACGGTCCATCCAGCCAAAGCAGAAGCCATGCTCATTAAACGCGGAACGTTCCCACCAGTACAGTTAAATGGCAGTTTAGTGAAGTGGGTAAGGAAGTCAAAATCTCTAGGAGTGACTTTGGACAATTAGCGGAGATGGAATCGACACACAGAAAATGTCAAACTTGCATTCGTCAGGAAATTAAATTTGTTAAAATCAATGGGTTTCCTTCCAAAACATATGCTGGAAGATTTTTACTGGAAAGTAATCTTTCCATCCATAACATGCTGCATTCTTGTTTGGGGAAACTGTGGTAAAACACATTTCAAAGCCTTGGAAACGTTGCACACAAAAGCCGCACGTATAATCTACAGGTTGAATTGGGACATACCAAGCCAAGAAGTGATACATAAAACTGGCTGGAAAACACTGAGCAGTACGTATAAGCAAAGAGTATTAAGCACTGTCCACAAATGTTGTTACGGTGAGGCACCAGACCAACTCTGTCAGAATATAATTACAAAGAAAGATAATAACAATTTAAGAGGATCAGAAAAGTTGGTTATTCCAAGACCAGAAACCAACATCCTGCATAAGTCAGTAAAATTTAGGGGAGCAGTATTGTGGAACAAACTACCGACCAATCTTAGAAACGAGGAACGACATAATAATTTTAAAATGTTGATACGGCAACAAGATCTTGAGGCAATGGATTTTACCTCCTATACAAACAATGATCTGAACTATATCTATTTTTAACTTTTCTAGTCATATCCTTACTACGTATTCTTACTATTATTATTCTTACGATATTTAATTATATATAAACTATATATATTAACATAGCATATGTAAATAGATTTTACTATACTGGTAAACACACGACCACATCAGCAATTTGCTGCTATTTTTATATCGTGTTTAAATAAATGTTTTTGAATTGAATTGAATTGAATTGGCGTGGGATCCCGTGCGTGGTTCGTTTCTAAAATCGTTACACATAACAAATTGTAAACGTTTTTTAATTTTTAAACGTAAACATTTATAAGAATTGATTTAGTATGAGAAATTCTAAAGTATAGGGCAAGTTTGTTTCAATTGTTTATTAGAGGTGTGCAAATCCGATCCGAATCCAATCGGATTCGTTCAGATTTCGGAACAAAAACATACATTTCGGATCATTATCCACGCATTATCGCAAGAATTAATTATCCATGCATTTATCAAAGCATTATCGCGGTTGTCGCTGCGCTATTCGTTTGATTCTTCAATTGGACGTCACTTTGTCGTAGAGCTGCTCTCGACTAATCGATCAATCGATTAAGCGATTATATTTTTTATTATTGTTTTTAATCGATTAATCGATTATTTTTATCGATTATTATTGATTATTATTAATCGATTATTTTTTTATTATTTCGATTATTTTTCAATCGATTACTCATTTGAATAACAGTATAACTCATTATCTATATTTGCTGCCTTGGTAATGTTTCAAGCCTGCCGGTGTGGATATGCACTCACAGTAACATCACAAGCATCTTATTCACCTGAGTACATTACACCAAGATAGCAAATATCATGATTATTAGATTACACTGATATATCGAAGGAACTAGACTCGAACCGACCTGACCGCGTAGCTCAGTTGGCAGAGCATTGGGCTAGTATTCCAAAGATCGTAGGTTCGATTCCCACCGTGGCCAAGCATATTTTTTAAGCCTGCCCGGTGTGGATATACACTCAGAGTAACATCACAAGCATCATTATCTTTGTTAGTCAACGTTTATTCATAAATCTAGTCCACCATCACGTGTTTTTTTTTTAGTTTTGCCCAACTAACCAATAGCAATGTTTAGGAAAGTTGTCTATCCGTGACTTGAACAATAGGATAAATTGGAATTTGCTATTGGTGGATTTGGCAAAATACAATACACACGTGACGGTGAAGGAAACTATTTATGAATAGACGTTCACTAACATCGGTAATGATTTCCAAACCATCTATCACTTCTCCATTAACTATGGTAATTTCCAACGTTTTACTGGGCTATGAATAACACAATGAATTTATTAGAATTCTGTTTTGTACTCGTTTTAGTTATTCGCGCAAACGATTTTCTGCAGAATTCCCTAGAAACTTTTCCCGTTATGTAATGGTCGGTGGTTTAATATCCAATCAGAATGCTAGATTTTGTAAAAGACGGCCGTGTGTGCTAACAAGGGATGCCCCTTCCTTAACAACAGCGTAGAACCAGTGGTCATCCTTTAAGACGGTTAAATACGCGTCGATGTTTCCTTCACTCATTTAGCCGATTTTAAGTAGATTCGACAGTTTTGGTTTCAATTCATACATTTTCGGCGTCCCCTATAAGGTTTTGCGCCGCTCTAAAATCGTTCGAAAGGGGGATGGCATTCCCACTTTTCCCACTCCCTGCGCCACTGTTTATAATTGATATTGGGCCACTCATTACTCGTCTAACTATCGCGAAAATCACACGTAATAACACTTGCAAATACTCGATTCATACCTGGTTATTCTGAAGTACAATCTTAAAAGGTTTAGACACAGATTCATTAAACCCTGGTTTAGTTATGAGAGATACAATAGTACTTCTGATTGTCAATGATTCAGTCGATTCTATGGTATTATCCACGGATTCCTTCAACTCTTCTTCAGATAAAATATCCTTGATTGAACTGTACTTCACTACAGTTGCTTCTTTTAACTCATTGGTCAGAGCATCAGGGATAACCACGCCCTCTCCAGCTGTGTCCAGCAAACTGGTACCTTTAGCTTGAAGTTCGGTGGGTTTTACTGTTGGTAGACGTATTCCAATGACGTCTATGTTGGGTGTTCTATATAAAGCAACTTTTCCTATTTCTGCACTTTGTGAGATGTAGTTCCTCGCATTCAGATCCGTGCCACTGATAACCTGCTTCGCCAAATTATTTCTAGACTGGAAAGCAAAGACAGTTTTTGGTTTAATCCTTTACTGAATAAAAAGTGGGCAATATATATTTCCCAAATTCATTAATTTAATAAAACACAACAGCGTCTTGTCGTGATACTACGAATTACAAATTTCCAAAAGTCAAGTCAACTTTCATGTTGAATTTCACTTTTTACATCTTGTGGCCAAACTTGGGTGACGGAACGTCCTTTTTGGGGGCAATGATCACAACAAAAGCAGGGGAAACAAGATCATGCATCGTGAGAGTAAAGTCCCTCACCGTCATGGACATTCAATATCATGTCCGAGCTGGCTTCCCTTATCCGCCCTGCTTTCTTTTTTTCTTCGATCTCAAACAGATAAAATTATTTACTTTCATATTTGGTAATAAAACATAATAATATACATGTAATTACGCAATTATTTCCTTTATTTAAGATTTATTTCTTCGTCAAGGGTTGGGTGAGTGAGTGAGTGGGTGGGGATTGTGTTGTCCGAAATGCAGTTGGCTTAGTAAAACGGTATTATAATGCCATTGATACTTGACATATTTTGACAAATGTTTCTATATAAAAGCGAAGCGGTTTTCTTGTTTATCGTTTCGCTTTAAGTCACGTAGTTTTACATAGGGATATTGCAATTGTGTCATATTAATCATAATTTATTTTGAAATAAATTATTCCTATATCTTGAATAGCAACAACAAGCTCGTGACGAACAATTTCTGATTACAATATCTTTTATAAACGGGAAATATTAATATCCGTCTATTGCATTTCCAATTAGCATTTCTCACGTCCGATTTTCCGCCATTTTGGCTGCCTCTCCCACGTTTGAGAGTCTCCGAACCACGAAATGCGACTTTTTGTATTATAGTTGTTTGTATCATGGTAAATGCTGTTACAAACGTTTAACTTAAAAGTTGCTTTTTACCTTCCTTGATTTATATATAACCCAAAAATGGCGGATTTTGGCCTTTGTGAGAAAGGCAATAATTGGAAATTGCTTATTGGAGTGGACATCCGTTTATTACGCTTTCTTATTAAAACGTATTGCGCAAAATCCAGACATCAAAATCGACCGAAGTAGAATGGAGATTTCGAAAATGTTAGATAAAAGAGTGGATCGATTCAACTCTGGATATAGCCGGGGTGTGGTGTACCGCTGCGTTATGCAGCATTAATTTAAAATACTTGCATGCCATCTTACCGGTATATTCATCCATACATTCTTTCTCTTCTGACTCACTATATTACTTGATGAGCGAATAAATTGCTGACGATTATTTTGTGTTTTCGTTCTCTGCTTTGTATTCTCCAAAACGTATACAATGTCTTGAATATCTTTTACATAAAGTTTATCGTCTTCTAAAACTTGTTCTGTTTCGTCCAAAATGTCACTGATATTCTCCGATTCAAAACCCTCGACCAGTCTGGACACCTTTAAAGTGGATTTCAGTCAAGATTTTAATTTTTAAAGTCATGACGGGGTATTGTTATAGTTATGGAAGTGAGCAAATGATACAAAATGTTTTCATCTCCCAACGCAAAGTCAATTCAGTGGCCAATTTTGTGACTCCGACAACTGTCTCATCAATTTGCTGCACAGTCGAACTTAATAAACCCAGCTACAGTATGGGATTGCCCATTTTTTGACCTTACGCACTTTTAACTACAATTAGGGTAATGTAGGTATGTTTGGCATAGCTTTGTTTAGAGATAATGGTGATGGTCCGGCACAGACAATATTCTACAATACTGCTCGGCTGAATGACATGAAAAAGATATCTCAAACGTATAAGTCTCCAGATTAGGTATATATAGCATTTTGCATTACGATGCCGCGGCTTATTATGAACTACCTGGAAAAGATCAAATTGTAGTTGATGTTCTTCAGGGAGTCTAGACACAAACTACGATTAGTGTATGCTTAACACATGATACAGTTAGATCATACTTTGACAATCACCTTATCAACAAGATCGATAACAACAGAACTTCTACAGTTGAAAAAACTCACATCACCCCAAACAGGAGGACCATCATTACTGTTACAAAATCGTGTAACAGTTCCTGTAAGTGAAATTGTTGAGAATGTTTAGCTCAATTCTGAACAATTTATCATTCCTGCAATGTGCAGTTTTTCTGGTCGATCGTCAGATTTCGGCTTACTCACATGTAAGAAAAATGCGCATATACAGTAATTTGGATTTACCAAACATTGCAAACGGTTTCTCCGGGCATTCCAGTTTTACAAAAACAGTTTAGAACTAACAAAACGTATTAAGTATAAAGTTAGCTTAATTTAAATATTGTGGATATTGATACACCATGCAGATCACGCATATTTTATGAAATGTTAATATTAGCTAACGTTCCGGTGTACGCAGAGCAACATCTTGAGAACGTTGAAGTGAAAATTGCCGACTGTATGTGGTTAAATATTATTTACAATACTTATTTACATGGCATACTATATAATATTTCAACTACGTCTATTATCTACTTCAACCCGTTTCTGCTATTCTTGCTAATAAACATTTATAAAAACATGCACCCAGTTTCCGAGTTTGACTTTAAGAGAGCATATAATTTCAGTGTTTCTTTATTGATTACTCTTTAATTAGATTAAAATTTTTAAATAGAAAAGTAAAGCAAACTTACTTGCATTCGAGAATTTGAAATAATTTTATTTCAAACTCAAAGTTTATCGATAAATACGATAAAGTCAGTTTAGTTTAAAAAGGACATATTACATTGAAATTGAAGCTTATATTACGTCTATTAAATAACATATATACCTTACATATATATGTTTGGGAAATTGATAATTTTGTAATTAAAAGTGATATTTTTAGGGGATTTCTGAATGGAATTATCGTGTGACTATGACAACTAGTTTCAATACTTCATATTCGGAAAATACAATGGTTTTGTCAGCAAGGCGAGGGTTTCTGCATGAATGTATTTTCTAGTAATTATACAGCATACCATGTAAAATTTACTTGGACGCTCTGAAGATATTGTACTCACTGTACACAACGAAACGCTATATATAGCTAGTAAAATTTCATAAAATATGTCTTGCATAAAAAATATTTGCTGGGCTCTTTTATTCATTTTTAAACAAAATTTAAGTTTCGCTCAGTTGTAACACAAGACCAAAAAATATAGTTCACTTTACTGAAACTATGGGGAGAATAGTTTCGGACTGATAGAGTTTTAAATCATGAAAGAGCGAAATACAAATAGTAAACAAACCGTACCTATTTTCCCCTCGGGACAAGTTTTGATGACTGAAGTGTCAACTGGTGTCTCTTCCCAAGTATAACCACTGTCATTGTCTTCGAAGCAAAACTCATTATAATCTAAAACAAACACGGTCCATAACAGGTTTTACTAAACATACAGTTGTCAGGGTGAGAACATATTATTATTCCCTTCATCATACTGCAAGTAAATAGATATAATTCAGATATAATAGATATAATTCAGAGATGTTGTCTAGAAATTTTGTTGGCAAATTTACCTTGTGATGTTATATGTACTGTAACGTTCTGGCTTCGTCCTGTACCATCTGAATTCTTAGCGAAACACCAATATTCAGCAGTGTATCTCGGTTTAATATCAGACGGTGCGATATCGAATAAATTTAGTTTTCTAGTTTGACCAATAATACCGGACTGTTTGGAGTTGTGCCACACAATTTCGAGATTTTCTTCATCGCCAACAGAGGTCTCGCACATTAAGGTCACTGGATCACCTAAATGGAAAAATAACTAATGCAGAAAAATTGTATCACATTTGGTATTCAAATTTTTCGAAAGAATTAACCGAAGACAGGGTGGTGTGAAGGTTTCGTTTAAGGTTACAGAACACCTTTGAGTGTTAATTTTGCCTAAATTTTTTTTATTAGTTTCCATGAAAGCATTAGACTAGTTCTACTATCTGACCACGTTTGGGCGAAAAATGTTGAAAACTCGACGAGTTATTTAATAAAATACATTTCGCTTGCAATAAAAAAACATTGAAAATGTAATATTCAAATTCAATTTTCTCCCGAAGAATTTTACGGCAATTTCTGATTTTTAAACGAGTTGTGCTCCTGCGGGTTTTAACGAATTTTTCTCAAATTTTCACAGAGCATAGCTAAAGATGACAGTTTCAAAATTGTGTTCGGCTTTGTTCTAATTTTGGATATTTTATAAATAAGGAGCAATTCACACAAACAATTCAGAAATATACTGGAGTCGTCAAAGAAATCGCCATATTAGCGGAATGACGAAATAAACAAAAATTTCCGAACACAATTTTTTAGAACAACTATTTTACTGTATAAAAATGATATTTTCATAAATATATCTTAAAACCAGCAGGAACATAACTCAAAAGCGACTTAAGATTTTCCTGAATAATTCTCACATTATTTTATTGTTTGTCAATTTTACAACTTTATACTATTTTCATTCACTAAATTCACTATTTTCATTCATTGAAAATTTGATGAAAATCGAACTGATTTTGAGCGCGCAGTAACGATTTTCCACAAAACTCCAAAAAGGGTGTCCTGTAACCTTAAGAGGTTTGACAGGCGTCACCTGTATACAATCATTAGCAAGACTCTGATTCAAGAGGACGAGACAAGGACTTCATTACCTTCAGTAGCAGCGACAGATAACGGTGAAACTGCAACAATGGGAATAACTTTAACTTCGACAGATACGTTACTGTTGATCGTATCTTCCCCTTTACTAAAAAAGATATATTTATATATATATACAGGGTGTATAAAAAAAAAACTGAACAGATTTGAAATTGCTCTCAATTTCGCAAAACACCTATTTGTATCTGGTTTTTTATATATATAACTTCTTTGGGTACTTATAATGTAAAATATTGAAAAAAATTTTTCTCGATCTCAAATTTTGTGAACCAGGGGGGTGTGTCTTTTGCAACAAACTAAAAATGGCTCGCGCACAAAATTTAAAACCTGTAATCATATTTTGAGTAAATAGATTGAAAATTTGTCGGGTTTTTAATTACTGTACAAAATTTCAGACAATTTGGTTTAGTTTAACTATTCATTTTGTTCTAAAAAGTCAGCCTTTCGCATGCTTAATTAATGCCTTTACCTAATTTGCATATTGCTGACATATGCAAATTAGGCAAATGCATTAATTAAGAATGCAAATAGCTGATTTTTCGGGAAAATTGTAACTTTGCGTGAATAGTTAAGGGGCTTAAACTAAACCAAATTGTCTGAAATTGTGTACAGTAATTAAAATCCGGACAAATTTTCCATCTGTTATCTCAAAATATGATTGCAGTATATATATATATATATATATATATATATATATATATATATATGTATATATATATATATATATATATATATATCATAAACACCGTAAGAGACTTTACGGAATCGCGGTCAAAGAAGCTTAGCACACGAGCTTGAGGAGTTCGATGACACAATGGTTTGTTCATGTGTCTTCCAGCTTTATCACCAGTTTTGGATTCCTGCAATATGTACTTTCTAATTAGAACTTTGTCTCAGCCGCACATGGAAAGAATGCTTTTGGTTTAACTTCACCAAACACTGCAGTTTTTACTCTGCGGAATACTGTCGTAATGTAATGTTGGGCCAAAGAACGAGAGGATCGAGTGCGCTATCTTGTGAGACACCAGATGTAACAGAAGAACAATCAGAAGCAATTCTTCGACGGATCCATGTCATCAGGTTCATGATCAAATTATTCTCAAACGCGCTTACCTGGCTATACAATAATAATTGCCAGAATCAGATTTCGCAGTTTTACGGACAAAAAGTTTTGAAACTTGGTCGTTGTTTTCAATCTTTACTCTTGTTGATAAGGACAAAATCATGTTATTTTTTCTCCACTCAAAGCTCAGAAGAGATGGTCCAGTAATAGTACACGTTATCTCCAACATGTCTCCAGCATATCCACTGTATTCTACGTCCATTTCAATATCTGCAAATGCTAAATACAAACAGATCGAAGATTGGAAACTAATTACTAGCGGGTTCAGCAGATAAGAACAAATGGAAAAATGAGTGATGAGAAATATAAATTGCTTTCTTTTACGTCATCAGGTTTGAGGGTGACCACCATTTGCTCTCCCATAACGATTTCTGAAACTTTTGGCCCTTCATTCGTACCTGTACACGCCACATGCCCTAGTTTATCCAATATTCCTAAATTACCTGGTATATCGGCAGTAGTCAATGACTCAGCCACAACAGAAATGTTACCAAGGACGCCAGTTGCATTAACTCTCTCCAAAACTTTAGTAATTTCGTCTTTAGCATTTAGAACCAAGACCAATTCTGCATCGCAAATCACACTTCCAGATCTTTTCAGAATGGAGGTAAAATATTTTGGTTAGCAATTAACTAGAACTGGCAATTTAACTTACCTAATAATTAAAAAATCACCATATCATCACATGAAAATGAATATATGATACTATGAACTCACCTAAATCTAATGATATTGACACCACGATACGCTGGAACATTGGAAAACTCCTTTTGAAACTAAAAAATTAATTAAGGTATATGGACTTAAGACTGATATGACAAAGTCGCATTACAACATTTTTTTTCAGGCGTGCACTACTGTTCCATTCCTTAAGTGTGATCCAGTGGTGGTGGTGGGGGGGGAGGGTATCCTGTGTTGTGGGGAAGTACCTGGGGCATGAACCAACAGATTTGTTTTTATTCCAGACATTCTAAAAACGATTTTCTATATTTTAAGTGATGCATGTTTTTATCATATTAAAACAAAAAAATACAATCACTACAGGGCTTCATTAGAAAGAATACCGTCCAGGATATATAATGGTAATTGAACTGAGTGGAGTGTAATTTGGACTGAAATCAAACGCGTGATTACAAAATCGCACGACCGTGAAGCGGAAGTGCGATTTGTAATCACAAGTTTAATTTCAGTCCAATTTTGCACGACACAAAGTTCAATTTCCACTTTATTGTATTCATTCTTAAATATTTTTGAAACCGTAAACGTTTTTGTTTGCAAAAGACACACCATCGGTACCTCCCCGAATGCTGTAGCATAGCAACAATAAGCGAACAGGATGAAGCGAACTGAAATATACGTTCAAAATAATGAAAATACTGCAAACATTTTAAAGAAATGTAGTCATTTATAAAGAATAAGAGACACACAAGTAAGTTTAAACGTATTGTAGGTGTAACGAGTGATTTGAAACCAGTGATTTGAAACCAGTGATTTGGACCTATTTTCCTGAGTCTGACCTGACGCTTTAAATTTACTTTTGTTGGAATTTTGCCTGTTGTGAAATTTCAAAAAAAATTTAAAATTCTTTGCAATTCTTTGATAGTTAACATAGTTTAATGTAGCTATCCATAATTATTTGTTTGATTTTTACGTGCAAAAAAATGCTTTATACGCACTCCAAAGTACTAAAATCATGACATATGATATGTAAATGTTTTGTTTTTGCTCATTTGGCATATCACATTTTTCTTAAATTTGATTGGCTGCTTGAACCCTATTATTAAATATGATTGGTTTGGCTTGCTGAAGTTAGCACTCTAATGTTATTGGTTGAAAGAAGGTGCGAATTCAGCACGAAACGCACTGCTAGGAGTGCGATTCGTGCTGAAATCACACTCCTGTGAACCAATCAGATTGCAGGAAACACCATTGATTTCAAAATGAATGTTATAATAAAAGGAAAAATACCATTACTGGCCGTTATTAAGATTAAAATTCAATAGAAATGGTGATTAAAATTCGAATAGAAAATATTTGGAACAGTAGCTGTTTTAACATTGCCAAATCTTATTTAATGTGTTATATTTTCAAAATCTAGGTTCGTCAGGAGTGTAAGTAGTAGCTGTTAAGTGAAGACAAGTCTTGTGTAGGTATGTTTTAAAGTTGGAAAGAGTGTCGTAGTAGTCGGGAGGAGCAGATTTAAATACATAGTTCCACACTTTTACAATTCTAACAAAGTACGAGTTTTGGAATGTGCTTGTTTATTGCGCTTCATAAAGGGCAAGAGGTGCTTGCACGTATCCTGCTTGCCGTAGTTTCGACATACGCATTTAAATCATGTCCTTCTTCTCTCGGTCGTAAGCCAGTGGGATAAGATTTAGTTTCGTTAAACATTCTACGTACTAATTCATTTCGCCACGTTTTTTCCCTAATATCCACAACATTGTCCTCCTCTGGACTTCTTCGATCTTTTTGCATATATAGATGCTGCTAGGGCACCAGACGTCGACGTCGCTTTCGTGTAGGTTAGTTGTTATTTTACCAGCGTCAAAAACAAAGCCCTTCTAACTCGAACGTTTGTAATTTCCAAAATAAATTAAATAATCTCTATCATAATCGTTAAACTTACATTATTTGTAACTTGCCTAGAGAGAGTCTGATAATTGTCAGAGGTTGGATCGTTTAGTGAATTGGTAAATTTTCTATCCTTTAGTGTGAATGTGACAGACAAAAACGTGTCTGGCAGTCCTAAATAGAGAAATATGTAAACGTATTGACGAGAGATTGAGTATGGAACATACTGTTGATTTATTTGCTTGCCGTAATCATTGTTAGTGAGTAACATAGCAAGGTGACCGTTAGTTAATACGTGTCGAATTATTTTTGCAGTCGGTAAAGACTGATTTGCAAAAACATCACATATTACGGGTTTGGGATCGTGGCTTCGTCTTTGAACCCCTTAAAGCCGCCAGCTCACGACGGCTACAACTAAATGGAAAGCAGGCTCTAAACCAAAAAAGGTGCATTGTTCCACTTGGCGAAATTTACTTACTTGTACACCGAGATGAGCCAATATATCCGATATCACAATTACATACGTAACTCCCAGGATTGTTAACGCACCGACTGTTCTCAAGACAAATGTTTAGGTTCGTACATTCATTTATGTCTGAAAACGATATTGGAGAATTGCATCTTAATTTATTCATCAAATGATAATGATGTCAATAATAAGGAGTTATCTATTGTAAATTACACCCGGCATGGTTGCCCATTGCGTCTCAAAACTAAATAAGCCTAAAACCCTGCTCAGACAAGTACAACGTCATCTAACATTTTGGACCAACAAAGTGATGTTGGATAGAAATTGTGTTAAACAAAACTGACAATCTTCCATCAAACAATATTAGATAATGGTGGGCCAACATGTTAGTCTCCTTTCAATAGGCGCTCAGTTCTCAGATAACTATGGGTTAGATTTGGTGTGAGAAGAAAATGGAGGAGCTGACGAAAAACCCTTCAAACACAGGAGACAACAAATAAAACACAACCTGGAATGAGTTTTTAAAAACATAGAAAACATCCAATCTTAGTGGATGGTGACCTACAGTATAACAATGCCACGTTTTCCATGTGGCCCCGGTGACCGCGAAGGGCATAAAGTAACAACAATGCGTTCTCGGTTAGTTCAGCAAATCAAAATTCCCATACGACAGTGAAAATATCCCGTACGAAAATATCTTCCGTTAGAGTTTGTGAGAATTGTTGGTAGTTCATTGACCAGAAAATAATTTCTGATGCAAAATTATATTTTAGTATCGCCTGTTATACATGAAATCATACGACGTCAATACGACGTCATTATCGTCAACATTTCAATATATATATTATTTCGTTTTCAAACTTTTATCTTAATTGAAAGAAATAAAATAGCTTTCAAATACAATGTCCTTACAAGGCGAAAATTATATTATTTTCCCATCACAAGGAGCGTTAATACCTTTTTAATTAATGAGATAAAACCCACATTTTTTACTTACCATCGCAATTAAATCCATCTCCAGTCCAACCTGTGTTACAGACACATGAATATGACTTTGCGGCGTTTATGCACGTGGCTTCATCATTACAGTTGTGAAGATTCAGCATGCATTTATCGATTTCTGAAGATGAAGATAGTAGTTCTTCCTCAGAATGTAGAATGTATAACAATCGAATCATTGAATGAATAAATAAATATACAAATGAATGAATGAATGAATGAACGAATGAATGAATGAACGAATGAATGAACGAATGATCAGATGAATATTCCTTTATGTAACCTGAAAAGTCCTTTAGGTAACCTGATAGGTTACATAAAGGATGTGATGGCCTTTATGTAACCTAGAGGTGTCCTTTATGTAACCTGTCCTGTCCTTTATGTAACCTGCTTGTCCTTTATGTAACCTGGCGTGTCCTTTATGTAACCTGACGTGTCCTTTATGTAACCTGGCTGTCCTTTATGTAACCTGGCTGTCCTTTATGTAACCTAGTCTGTCCTTTATGTAACCTAGTTTGTCCTTTATGTAACTTGGGACTATACTTTGTGTAACATGAAGTGCTTTTACTGCTTTATAACTTGGCTTATTGGTATAAAGAGTATAGCTAAAATTTTGACAGAAGCATTCAGAAGCATTGCAAAAGAGGATCAGCTATTTTACGATTACTTGTTATAATAGAAGCACTATATTAATCTTTAATCTGTGGTATTATAAAACATGCGTTATACAGTATTTGTTGTCTTTACGAAGTGACTCTAGTTTACCATGTTGAAACCAAGAAATGAGCCAAAAATTCCATTAAAATAGCAGGTGAGAGTAACAATTTATACTTTGCTTTTGCACTGGGTTGTACTGATATGGCATCTGAACTATACATTTTATATGTGAATACATTTTATACAGATTGCTGGTAAAACAGTCAAATGAATAATGTATTACTTTTTTGGCACACTATAATGAGTCAATGACATGTATTATGGTCTCGTTCTCTTTTGGCTTGTATGAACCAAGCCTTTAGGCGAGGTCCATACAAGTGAAAAAAGAATGAGACCAGTATCCTCCTGTACGGACTGAACAAGCTCAGTCAATAAACTATTTATTTTATGAATAAAAACAGCACTGTATCATTTAATGATACAGTGCTGTTTTTAGTCATAAAATAAATAGTTTATTGACTGAGCTTGTTCAGTCCGTACAGGAGGATACTGGTCTCATTCTTTTTTCACTTGTATGGACCTCGCCTAAAGGCTTGGTTCATACAAGCCAAAAGAGAACGAGACCAGTATCCTCCTGTACGGAACCAGCTGGTTATTTATAAATAAAAGGGATGTTTCCAAGTTTTTTACAAGTCATATTCAAGACATCATTTGGATTTGGCTGCTGGCAGGCTTGAAGTTACAAAGAGAACAAATCCTATATTTTACCCATTAAGCTCCAGAGCTTCCCCATTGACAAGTAAAATCGCCTGGCATTTGTAAAAAAAAGTCAGGCACAATGGGGCCCATTGCCCTAATTAATAGATTCTTACTCTGTCTAATGCTGACAATCGTACTCACCAAGGGGGTGCATTTGGGTTTATTGCAGCTTAATATTAATTCACTATTTATTTAAACCTTCCACCACTGTCCAGAACAGTTGCTCCCGACTTAGTCCAAGTAAAATACTAGAATACCAGAAGTTAAATAAGTATTATTTTCTAAGCACCAGCATACCTGCAACAAAAGCCTTTGTATTTCTTGAATTTGACTTGAATGAAATTTGTAAACATCCCTTTTATTTGTAAATACCTCAGTGGAGAATCCTTTCAAAACACAGGATCTCAATTATTATCATCAACTACAGGTCAGAGCACTGTGATATAAACAGACATGGTGTGTTGCCAGGAGGTTACTTCAGTGAGCAACAACTTGTGACACCTGTCAACTAGTTCTAACTGTTGTTGTAACGGCATAGCTAAACACAGTAGCACAGGCAGCAAACATGCTCCCTCTCAGTCTGGTTAAAACCATATGGGCTGGAGGAGGTAGGAAGGCTGGGGTAGATAGATACACATAGAGGTAGGTATGTACCTACCTACCTCTACCTAGAGATAGGTATGTGGGAGGTAGGTAGGTACACAGCTAAAAATCACAGATTTGCAGCAGGATGTGTTCACTCGACTTGTTGCTAGAGGCTAACAAATCTGGAACAAGTTGTTATCAACTTGTTACCATGTTCACTTGATAACTTTGACAGACCTGCTGCAAGTTGTTCTGACAAGACTGATACAGCCTGTTCATAAAAAGATGTTAGCAAGTTGTTAACACAATCTGGCAGTTGTTAACACAACCTTGTATCTGTCTTGTTGGAACAACTTGCAGCAGGGCTGTCAGAGTTATCAACTTTGTAGCAAGTTGATAACAACTTGTTCCAAACTTATTACAACAGATGGGGAAACAAACCAAGTGAACACATCCGGTGGCGACTTGTCAACAGCCTTGTTACAACTTGTTACCGGGCGTGCTGCAATTTGCGAGTTTTTGGCTGTGTAAAGGTAAGTAAAGGTACTGTAGGCAGGTAGTCTATAGCTACATTTACACATTGCGATTTGTCGTGTACGATTTGGAATCTGGCGTATGTAATTGCCTCAGTTGACTGCATTTTCAATTAAACTTCATTGTAATGAAATGGCAATGAATTTCGGCATCTGCAATAATTTTCATGCACCACATTCTAAATCGCACACGACAAATTGCAATGTGTAAATGTACCTTAACAAAATTATTCAAAATTATTATTTCACTATAGACTGAAATCTAATTACATTGTGTCACAATAATTTCTTGGCATGGGAGCCTTAGCCTCGTAAATCCAGATAAAAAAAACTATTCCACTCGTGATTCATGAGAACAAGGCTTCCTGCCCATAGAGGGATATGTGATATGCAATATAATGTGTAAACACTAATTTGTGACATAAATAAATCAAAATTTTATTTCTAGTTGTAATGCATGTTGTGTTGTTATTATGACACAGTATTGTTTACCAGTACTAACTTTATTTATATATTTTAGGTTTGTTTCATTTACGACAACTTGGAATATCAAGAGAAAAAAATGGACAGAAAATTGACATATTTTATTGACTTGTACTTAAAAAATTGTAATATTCCTAATATTAATATAGTGTCAAATATAATGCTTTCCTTAAAAGAATAACATGAGTGGAGTTGACATTCACACTACAGTCATAAATATGTCTAACAGTCTTGGCCCTTGCCCTAGGGCTTACAGACTAAAGGCTCTTCTCCACTCATCACAAAATCAACTTGCAAGCTCGCTGCAAGGGCTTGCATCTAATTTCAGGAGTTAAACCTTGATTGGAGCTGGCTCTGTTGTTTAATTCCTCGTATAGTATGAAAGCTTATTACAACTAAACCTAAATAAACTGTCAAGCATTGTGATTGGACAAAATTACCCCAGCGAGCTTGCGAGATGGTTTTTATGACGAGTGGAAAAGAGCCTTTAAGGTTTTTTTGGCAAAATAATTGTGGTCCCAATGACTGCAGATACCTGTATACCACCAAAATTTATTCAAACAATTAAAGGCGAAGTAATTATCGGTGAATAAAAACCGAGACAAAGTCAAGGTTTTTAATCACAATAATCACCAAGCTCAAGGTGAATAATTGTTTTAGTATAATTTCATAGGTGATTATTTGGAAAAAAATACACATTTCTTCATCAAAAAATAAAAATTTTAATACACACGGCTTCGGCTGCCATTTTGAAAATTAGGTGATTATCACATTATAATCACCTGAACGGCAACCAATCAGTGTGCAGAATTTTCAATAATCACCTATTTAATTATACTAAGATATATCAATTATGATTTTGTGGCATTTCACTCGATGTAGGATCAATTCTAGAGGGTTAATGGGTCTTAATTTCGAGTGGAAATCATTGCCGGAGGACCAATAGTTGATGAATTTTTCTCAACTGTTCCTGGCTTGAATTTGACATGTGTATGATTTCCACTCGAAATTAAGACCCATTAACCCTCTATACTAAGGTATAGTATATAGTCATTTTTATATAGTATAATATGTAGTCATTTAGTTTTACTGAGGGCTCATTCTAATGAGCCCCATTTCCAAAATGAAAAGCTTTATTATAGCAATGGAATATATATTTCATGAACAAGGTAAATATATAATAGAAAATATAATCTGAAGATTACCATCTTGAAAACCCAAGGAATGAGTTAGGCAATATAATCGAAATATCACAAAACTCATTCTCACTTCTTTCAAGCCATATCTTTCCTTTCATGATGCTAGTCTTCAGATTATGTTTTGTATTACATTTTGGAAATCGTCGGCTGGTATTGGTATTTTTAACAAGGAAATTACATGGAATTGATATGCATCATCCAATAACATTGTCCAATGTCAGGATTCTAGTCTTAAGCCCAGTAACATAAGGTAAGTATAGTAACAAATAAATGAATAAAACACAGCAAAGTCCCGCTATTCTTTGTTTGCAATGACGTAATTTGGGGATTTCAGTTGACAGGCAGGTATGATAAAAAACGTGTATTGTAATGCACTAATCAAGTTTTGAGACAGTTTAAGACCCAAAAGATAAATTATCATTCAGTTTTTCTTGGTACAACCATTCTGATAGGAAAATGATGAAAAAGCACGAGATTGCAAACAAAGAATACAGCTCCTGCTATAAAGTTCTTACTATTTAAAGTTCATACATTAATAATGCATAAAATCGTTTAATTTATCCACGAACTACCACAGATACCTCCATCAAACCTCTACAGAATAAAAAAGACATTGGTTAGAAAATAACATAGCATAAGATAAGATACGTCACTGCAGTCAAGGTCTAACTTTAATTTTAATACATGCCAGGTGCATTTTCATGAAATACTAACGCGATATGTCCAATTCTCCCCAATGCCAACAAATGTTTACTTCAGTTTGAATACAGATATCTCAGTTAATATTTCATAAAAATGCACATGGCAAATGGCAAAAACTTAGATTGCTGCATACAACCAATTTTGTTTAACTGTAATAGCTACATATTTTATAGCTTAGAGTTTGTAATCAAAGAGTTATTTTTTGGAGGCACCTGAAGTAATTGGTTAAGAAAGCAAGAGCAGGTTTTCGAAAATATTCCAAATCCCAGTGTTCATAACTTAAGCAAACAGTTGAACCTCCATTTGAGCCTTCACCCTGGGGGAATGGTTAATATATGTGAACGCTTAATGGAGGCTCAACTGTAGTGGTATAAGTATGATCATAGGAAAAGGAAAACAACATTTTCGATTTAGGTACATAAGAACCATTAAAAGTGGTATATACGGCTATAGTAGTAGTGGATGTAAAAATAACGACCTACAAAGCCTATGTTATAACAAAGAAGTACTTCAGCTGAATTGACTAAAGGCCGTTTTCCTGTTCAACAGGCTTTCTGGCATCCTTGTGTAGAAAAGTAGGACAAAAGTAGGACTAGAATTTTAGGAAAAGTAGGAATAAAGTAGGAAAATGTGTAGAAAAGTAGGACAAAAGTAGGAGTTTTGGAGATGCAAATAACACAAAAATATACAAAATTGGCACCCTATGATATATGTGGTAAGGTGTAGATATTGGTGCTCAATATTTTTATGTACTCATTCATCTTTGCAGGATTTTTTCTCGAAAACTTTTAAATTGCATCGGTATAAAAGCTAAGGCATCTGCTCTGCAGCAACACAGTTCAAATGCATGTATTGGGCTACACAATACACCAATCCACACTGCGGCAGGAGCATATATCGGGGCCGTAAGAAGCTCTTTTCGATTGGGGGGGGGCTGAAAGCGAGGGCCGAAGGCCCGAGGAAATTTTTAAATTTAGAGTCTCTGAAATGCCATTTCCTGGACTTTGGGGGAAGATTTGAAAGATTTTAGTATGTCGAAATTTACAATTTAGTAGTACTAAATGGGCGAAGGCGTATTTAATTAACTATATATTGGATAAGTTGCAGGAAAGTATGGGTAGTATCTTCATTCTTTGCAGTTTGTCATGGATTAAATGATAAAGGTCTGCATGATTTTGAAAAAATTATCATTAACAAATTATTGCCCCCCCCCCGGTTGCTACGGCCCTGTATATATGATGCTCGATTAACTGGGGGGGGGAGTTGAATATTTGGAATCTCTAGATCGTCGGAAATGGCACTTTCAGAGTCTTTATTAATTCATTGATTATGATTCTAGAGATGCTATGAAGTTATATACTCGGAAAATGTACTTCTTCTCCTCCTGAGATCTTATCATCTGGGACACAAATAGGGAATAAAAATTACGAGTCCTATAAATCTAATTACGAGAGCTATAACATACTGATTCCCCAAGCTGTCTTAAAAAAGTAGGATTTTATGAGAAAAAGTAGGAAAAAGTAGGAAAATCAAGCAATTTTTAACAAAAAATAGGAAAAGTAGGAAAGTTGAAGAAAAGTAGGAAAAGTAGGATGGCAAGAAAGCCTGAGTTCAATGATATTGTAGCGTAACGTTGCATATTTCTTTGTTTCCTAAACACTTGGCTAGAACTAATAACTTTGAAACAATGCTGGAATTACGCTACATTTCGCTACCATATGGTTGCAATGGAAAACGGCCATTTGCGTAACCAAATCACATGAAACTTTGGCAGCATATGCAGCTGCTGCTCTACATCAGTTTAAACCAGTAAAAAAGGTAATGAATTTCTGGGAAAAAATATCTAGCCAGGCTATGATACAAGTGACGTACTTACATTTCTGTGCAGTGTGCCGCTTCCGTTCTGTCCTGACCTTATCAGCAAGCTGAAGCAAGGTACATTTCTTCAGCAGGTGACGCAAGTTCGGTGACCCTTCCAGCCTTTCCTTCATCAATTGTTTACTGATTGGTTTCTTGCTTTGGATAAGATCCTTGAATAATTCGCAGAAGTCATCATATTCATTGTCCACAAACAGCTTTTGTGAGCTTTTCTTCGATGTACATGTTGTTGGTGAAACAACGCTAGGTGCAACAATTTCACTGGGTTGGTATTCACTGCCAGAATCGTTGTTTGATTGCGCCGTTTCAGCCATTTGTGCCGTGTAACCTGCACGAGTTAAACGATCTTGGGACATCTCCTCCGGCAAAGTGGGTAATTCACGCTGAATGCTTCCAAAGAAGGTGCGAATCTTGTCACGTAGTTTCGTTACTGGTATGTTTTTAACAATGGGACTGTTTTTAATCTTTTTCCTTACTATGCCCATTGTGACAGATTGATTCCGGATTTCATTGACAAATAGTCTTTTTATTTCTTTCTCTTCTTCAGGTCCCCATTTCCGTCTTTTCTCGGTAGACCACTCTTGTGACGACGATGGCGTATTGGGATCCTCCACATTTTTTTGGGCTGCAGTATCTTTTTCAGCTTCAGTATCTTTTTCAGCTTCAGTATCTTTTTCAGCTTCAGTATCTTCTCCAACTTCATTATCTTTGGCACCAGGAGCTTTGGCATGTAAAACGTTTGAAAGAAATTCAGACGTTTTAACTGCTGCAGCGGCCTTTTCTTCCAGAAGATAGTAGCGGTCAGCTGTTGCCTTGTTGTGGACCATCAACCCAGCCAAGTCCTCTCTTCTAGATTTATCGCTGCGATGGACAGCAGAAACAGCTGCTTTTCTGAATGCTGTCGCTCCACCAGTAGCAGCATCTTTGCCAAAAACCTTCCCCCATGCACTGTCTATCTGGCAACCGACGTGGGAGGAATCCATAGGGCGGTTGCTCCACGTCAAAAAGACTGTTTCACCATTCTTGGATGTATTATCAGCCACAGGGTAACGGAACTTATTGATGAAGATGTTCATCCAGTTGTAAAGCATGGGTGATAAAACGATGTTGGCTGGACCGTGTGTTGTGAATGTTTTATGCTTCTTCACTTTCACCACGAAGCTGCCATCCAATGCCTGTGCAATTCTGAATTCACCAACTGTCATGTTGGCTAATGCTCCCGACCTGCTACCATTGTTTATGCAGATAGATGTCAGCAAATAATCCCTTACTGCAGTGTACTCGGTCTGGCTGGGCATTGTCCCATCAGATTTTTCCTGGTACTCCCCAAGAGTCTTTAAAGCTGCTCTGGCAACAGTCGAGGAGATGAACTTTTGGATCTGTTCAGGTTTGCGTAGTTTCTCCAAATCGTCCATACGTTTCTCCCAAAAGCGATTTTTCACCAACTTGTGGTAAGATTTGCTCCACTGCGCCATCTGCACAATTAATGCACTTAGTGCTTTTGGAGGGGCATCGATATTCATGGGAGACTCACATTCCAGAAACGAATAAAACTGCCGCAAAGCACCAAGGTATGATTTTACTGTGCCAGGACGTCTCTCCTTCTCAAACTTGTGCAGCCATTTGTCCCTGAGTGTTTTTCTATCCAGAATATCTTTCAGGTTTGGTTTCTCCGGACAAATGTATTGTATCACCAATTGAATTTGCCGAGAGCACTGTTGTGCAATCGGTTTTTCTCTTCTACCCCCATCAGCAGTTTGAAGCCACTCTTCAAATTGTTTAAATACACGTTCATCTGGTAACATATCTAGCGGTGAACTCAAGTGGACACTCTCTACCTCACTGTCATCAATGTAACTGCCATCACTCGAGGATTGGTCAGTAGTTTCTTGTTTTTCACTGGACCGCTCTTCTGACATTTCTTCGTCTCTCTCAGGCATAGGCGATTCCTCAGCATTTGACAATTCATGGGAATGTTCTCTTTCTTTCTCGGTGCACGGTCCTCTAAAAATCGAAGGGTAGTCACTGTCATCTTCATCGTCTGAGGAATAAACTTTCTTGAATATACTTTCATGCTTCACTTTCTTGACTTTCTCGCCTTCTTTCTTTTTTTCTTTTCTTTTTGGAGCTTTACTTATTTCTTTATAAGAACGCAGTTCTTCTTCATCGATTGAAGATGACTCACATGACGACTCAGAAGAAATATCAATCACTTGGTGATGAACAGCTGACTTTAAGCTTCTTTTATATACGTTACTTCCGTGGAAGTCAACGAGGTGGTTATGAATTCTTTTCACAACAGACATGCAGCCATCTACAGGGCAAACTTTATGTTTCCGCGTTGATTTTCCGGTGCCTTTTCTGGGTTTCCGTAGGCTGAATGCACTTACAACACCTGCACTATTCGGTTTGTCCCATCTATGCACTTGTCTCATGTGCCGCGGAAGATGAATTACTTCGGCAGAACAGGATGGGAATGGACATTTATGCTTCCCTCTATGCCCTTTTTCTTTCTTTTCACCTTCAGCTCCAGCAAGAATTGGATCTTTGCCACTTTCCACAGCTGGTTCTGACTCTGCCACTTCCACAGTTGCCGTACTGCCTCCTCCGTGCCTTGCACCCTCAACTTCCTGCTCCATACCAATCTTTTCCAGTAAATACTCTGAATGGAAAAAACAATCCATACGAATTATTACACCCCCAAAACAAACAATTTTAACAGTATGTATTTTAATTTGTTCAATTTCGAAAACGCCCATGCTAAGCAACAAGGCTATCATGCACACATGTCAACATTTAGACATACTAACATGCAAATATGCTAACATTTACACATTCTATAGAATGTCTTTAGACATTGGTAACACTATACATTGTTACACAGTAAATCTACATTGCCGAGGGTTATAATAGACAAAAAGCATCGTTGAAGGTTACACTATATTAATATACACTGTTAAATATTGTACACTATACACTGTATACTATATTTCTATATCGATAAATTAAAACTAAGCATATACTAACATTACTTCAACCGCTGCATACATCAGTTTAAATGTACTGTCTTGTGTTTCAATATAAGAATTAAGTAATAGCAAAGATCACTAAGCTGAAAACCCCCTTGTAACAAGTAAACTGCCTGACCAAATCACATGAAACTTTGGCAGCCTATGTAGAATGCACCCTGAATGTTGTTTCAAATTAAAATAAAAATATTCTAGCATTATTTCAACTTTTACACCAGTTTAAACTAGTATCTTGTGTTTAAATATAAGTAATTACTGTAGTTTCTCAAAAAACCCATCTAACTGAACCCCCTTAAGTTGAAAATGACAGCCCAGACACACATGAAACTAAATATAACTTCTAAAGTGGTATTAGCCAAGTATTTTGCTGGGTTGATCACTGACATAGGGTAATTAGGAGCAAAGTTACAATTAGAAAACATGTTTTACTATACAAAAAAGTACATACAAGTGTACGGTACTTTAGCTGAATTGGCCAAGTCAACAGCTGAAAACCCCTTTGTAACAAGTAAACTGCCTGACCAAATCACATGAAACTTTGGCAGCCTATGTAGAATGCACCCTGAATGTTGTTTCAAATTAAAATAGAAATATTCTGGCATTATTTCAACTTTTACACCAGTTTAAACTAGTATCTTGTGTTTAAATATAAGTAATTACTGTATTTTCTCAAAAAAAACATCTAAATGAGCCCCCTTAAGTTGAAAATGATAGCCCAGACACACATGAAACTAAATATAACGTGTAAAGTGGTATTAGCAAGTATTCTGCGGGGTTGATCACTGACATAGGGTAATTAGGAGCAAAGTTACAATTAGAAAACATGTTTTACTATAGAAAAAGTACATACGGTACTTTAGCTGAATTGGCCAAGTCAACAGCTGAAAACACCCTTGTAACAAGTAAACTGCCTGACCAAATCACATGAAACTTTGGCAGCCTATGTAGAATGCACCCTGGATGTTCTTTCAAATTAAAATAGAAATATTCTAGCATTATTTCAACTTTTACACCAGTCTTGTGTTTAAATATAAGTAATTATTGTAGTTTCTTAAAAAAAACCCATCTAACTGAGCCCCCTTAAGTTGAAAATGACAGCCCAGACACACATGAAACTAAATATAACTTGTAAAGTGGTATTAGTCAAGTATTTTGCTGGCTTGATCACTGACATAGGGTAATTAGAAGCAAAGTTACAGTTGAAAAACATGTCTTACTATATATACAAAAAACTACAAACTTTAGCTGAATTGGCCAAGTCAACAGCTGGAAACCCCTTTGTAACAAGTAAACTGCCTGACCAAATCACATGAAACTTTGGCAGCCTATGTAGAATGCACCCTGGATGTTTTTTCAAATTAAAATAGAAATATTCTAGCATTATTTCAACTTTTACACCAGTCTTGTATTTAAATATAAGTAATTACTGTAGTTTCTCAAAAAAACCCCATCTAACTGAGCCCCCTTAGGTTGAAAATCACAGCCCAGACACACATGAAACTAAATATAACATGTAAAGTGGTATTAGTCAAGTATTCTGCTGGTTTGATCACTGAAATAGGGTAATTAGAAGCAAAGTTACAGTTGGAAAACTTGCCTTACTATATATATACAAAAACTACAAACTTTAGCTGAATTGGCCAAGTCAACAGCTGAAAACCCCCTTGTAACAAGTAAACTGCCCGATCAAATCACATGAAACTTTGGCAGCCTATGTAGAATGCACCCTGAATGTTGTGTGAAATTAAAATAGAAATATTCTGCCATTATTTCAACTTTTACACCAGTCTTGTGTTTAAATATAAGTAATTACTGTAGTTTCTCAAAAAAAACTCCATCTAACTGAGCCCCCTTCAGTTGAAAATCACAGCCCAGACACACATGAAACTAAATATAACTTGTAAAGTGGTATTAGCCAAGTATTCTGCTGGGTTGATCACTGACATAGGGTAATTAGAAGCAAAGTTACAGTTGGAGAACTTGCCTTACTATATATATACAAAAAACTACAAACTTTAGCTGCATTGGCCAAGTCAACAGCTGAAAACCCCTTTGTAACAAGTAAACTGCCTGACCAAATCACATGAAACTTTGGCAGCCTATGTAGAATGCACCCTGAATGTTGTTTCAAATTAAAATAGAAATATTCTAGCATTATTTCAACTTTTACACCAGTCTTGTGTTTAAATATAAGTAATTATTGTAGTTTCTTAAAAAAAACATCTAACTGAGCCCCCTTAAGTTGAAAATGACAGCCCAGACACACATGTATGAAACTAAATATAACATGTAAAGTGGTATTAGTCAAGTATTTTGCTGGCTTGATCACTGACATAGGGTAATAAGAAGCAAAGTTACAGTTGAAAAACACGTCTTACTATATATACAAAAAACTACAAACTTTAGCTGAATTGGCCAAGTCAACAGCTGGAAACCCCTTTGTAACAAGTAAACTGCCTGACCAAATCACATGAAACTTTGGCAGCCTATGTAGAATGCACCTTGAATGTTGTTTCAAATTAATATAGAAATATTCTGGCATTATTTAAACTTTTACACCAGGTTAAACTAGTATCTTGTGTTTAAATATAAGTAATTACTGTAGTTTCCCAAAGAAAAACCATCTAGCTGTAGCCCCCTCAATTAAGTAACAAATGACAACCCAGACACACATGACACTAAAGTAAGTTGTAAAGTGGTATTAGCTAAGTATTTTGCTAGGTTGACAACTGCTACATAAGTTTAAACTAGTGTCACTATGTTTAAGTAAAAGTAATTAGCTTTTTGAAAAACATGTCTTCCCCCCTTAAAGGAGCAGTGTCATCGTTTGCGCATCTTTTCTGCGCATAACAAAAAGAGTCAAAGAGATTTACAAATTTTCACCATTGACCATTGTTTTACAGTTAAAACCAAAGAATGATCATTAAAGATGATAAAAAGATTGAGTTCACTGTCTTGGATCAACAAAGTTTCACATGCGCAGATGACAATACGGCTGCTCTAACATCTCTCATCACTCTCTGGCCTAAAAATAATGGCAAACTAGAGTGTTCAAGCGATTTTCAACAATGTCCTGAGCATTGAACTATTTGGATGAGTTATGCGCAGAAAGGATGCGCAAATGGTGACACTGCTCCTTTAAGTACGGTAATGAAAGCTCAAACATGAAACTACGGTACCTCATAAATTAAAAATAGGCAAGTATATTTCTAGCTAAACAATTGATTAGTCAATTGGGAACAAAGTTACAATTGAAAAACGTGTTTTATTATTTAGGGCTTGTTTATATGGAAGCCAGGCTGGCCCACTTATAGCAAGACAGCCCAGTAAGCGAGGTGTAATTGGTATAGATGTGTATTTACTTTTATAGTAAAAGTTATTGTGTGTTTATATGAACAAACTGGCCCAGTTAATGCTGAGATGTCGCGTTGAAGAGGCGAGATCTCACTTATCGAGATAAAAAATTCTCCATAGAAACACTCATAAGCAGGCCAGCCCAGTTGCCATGATGAAAGTTCAAATTAAGATACCGCAGCAAGCTATTTTTAACAACTGTTAGTGAAATTTTCTCATAGACAAGAAATTCATCCTGCTTTATACCGGGCTGTCTTGCCAAGCGGGCCAACCCGGCTTCCATATAAACAGGCCCTTAATTAACCCATTGAGCCTCAATGCGCCCCAGTGCGCCCTACTTATTTTTTTTAACTTGTCTAACGCCATACGATTTTACTCGTCAATGGGGAAACTCTGCAGCTTAATGGGTTAAAAGTAGAGTTGTTTATGTCACACAGGATGTTTCTACTTGTAGATTTCTGTAAGAATGAAGTGAGCTGATATACAATGCAATGCCAGTGGATATAAGATGTATAAGTTAATAATATTTTAAACACAGATAAATACAGACTTGACACTGTGGACTTAAGCTCAAAATAGAAAGCAAGTCTATCAATTTATTCAACAACCAAGATAAAAGTTTTTAATCTTATTTTAGATCGATAATGTTTACAACTACATATTCAGTGCAAAAAAAATTAAGTTAACTGATTCACGAGAAATATAAAAGTGTTATTTAATTTCGACTTATACACTGTAAACTTAATTTTGACTTATAAACCGCTAAATGGCTTGATACAATCGGCCCCAGATGAACAAAATATACTATAGACTATATAGTCTCATGAATATTCAAGCCTCAAAGACGCGAATATTTCAGTTAGATTTAGTCATAAATTATTCAATAACATTATGATAAAAAACAACGTACCTTGCCGCAGCCGTAAAACCAACAGCCAACAATGGAAGTTTAAACTTTATAGCTGATTGATCGAGATTTCTTTGCCTTTTTATAAATAAAACACTCGCGTAGTTTCAATTAAAAAATATGTTCTGAATGCCAGAAAAGCACCATCCTCGTTCCCAGTGCTTCTCGGCTGCCTGCGTTGCCGTAAGCCCCATAGAGATTATAAATAAGGGACGGACCATTAGAAAAGTGATGGGGGGGGGGGATTTTCTAAGAGGCAATATATTTTTTTTTGTACACCTATAGAAGAAATTTTTTTTTTTCTCACTTGATGGTTGGAAATATTTTTTTTTTAAAGGGGGCCTACAGTAATTTTTAGTCAAGTAAGTATTGTTTACATTTTTTGTTATTGTCGCTACTTGACATGCGCACCACAGTATGCATGCGTTTTCTGTGTGCGAAAGTACTCATACTCATGGATACTGCATGTAAGATACAGCCAAACGAATCTCCGTGGAGTCCCCTACTTAAGGTGGCTTTCGACTAAAAAATGACTGTAGGGCAATCTGTAGGGCCCTTTAAGTGAAATTTATAGGCCTATTAGTGGTGTAGTCCTGGAATGTTAACAAGGGGGGCTCTCCAAATTGCCCTGAATTGGCGGGAGGGGAGGGGAGGTACAATAAGATATTTTAGAAATTCTAAATTTTGTTGGGGTTTATTCTAGTAATTCTGGGACAAACATTTGACATTATTCTTATTAAAAACAAGCCGAAGCGAGGGCCGAAAACCCGAGGAAATTTTTAAATTTAGAGTCTCTGAAATGCCATTTCCTGGACTTTGGAGCTCCCCTGAGCCCTCCCTCCAGTACACCACTTGGCCTATCTTCTAAGGAAGGAATTTTTTTTATATTCGGGTCCAATGCCCGACGGCATGCGGAAATGTTTTCGCGTCAAATTTCCGCCTATGCAGGATTAACCTCTGGTCAAATCCCGCGGGTTCGCCCGGGGGGGATGATCGCAGTTGGAATTGACGCGTGCATTATCGCGCAAGAGTGTATGGAAATAAAACTCAGTAATTTCCGCTTGGTAAAATTTCATTCAGTTAATTAAAGACCCAACATGAGCTCCACCTTTGAATTTACTATATGAGTAAAGGCGAGGTGTTGCTGCATGCATGTATTTCTAGTTATGTTCGTACTTAGTATCGTTGTAATTTTCTCTTCCTTGGGAGTTAAATGTCTTGCTGATAGACGTTAAAAATGACTTAAAATACTTAAATTCATGACCAATTTATTTGGACAAGATGTATTACATGTAGATTAATTAAACTATCACAAAAATGTTACCATATCACAAAATAACACAATTCGGTTGCTATAAAAACAATGTTTCCCTATTTATTCCGTAGCAAGTGAAGTTTGAATATATTAGTTTAACTTGTTTCAATTGGTTTGGATTGGAACGCAGTTACGGCAGTAATTAACTTGCTATATACTCATAAATAAGAATCTGAAAAAAATATTTGACCTTATACTTGCCGACGGACGAATTATATAGGGCTGCTATTAAATTAATTTATACTTTGAAGGGCCAATACATAGTAATTTAATTATGAGTGGAATATTAGTAATATTTGTAGAGTTATAGGCGCAGATAATATAGTTATATATAATAGCAAGAGCACAATGTTGAAGGCGGGCCAACATCGTATCGGAGCTTCGCCGTGTTCCGATATGATGCACAGTATCCTGATTCCTCTAAAACATATATAGATGCGGCTTTTGAACGACAGAAAGTCACAAGCAGCGATAAGAAGCCAACGTTTGAGCCATATTCCAACACTCGCGACGAATGGCGACCAAAATATCTCGTGACGAGACTTCTCCGTATTCAATTCGCATCGAAACAATTTTTCGCTGACTGGAAAGTCGCAGAATCGGATGATTCCAAATGAGCAAAGGCCATACATATCCAATATTACGATACGCAACGAATGGTAAAAATGTTTTAACCATCGGTAAATACGAATACCGATTCGTCACCTGCAGTGCCAAAAGAAACATGATCTCATTATTAGGATATTCACCGACGGTATGCCGCGGTGATAGGATTCACAATCTGTCATCTGCAGTGTCAAAAGAATCGTGAAGAAATGAAGACTTAATCTTATCTTAATTGACGAGTACAGGCTTACTATAACGCCTGGATATCACTTCATGAGTTTGCTTCGTTTTTAAGAAACACGCTTTTGACGCTTTATATAAACGCACTGACATTTAAAACACCAGACCGTGCATGCATTTAAATATTATATGTCTACATGAGTTTGCTTCGTTTTTAAGAAACATGGTTTATATATACGCATTGATATTTAAAACACCGCAGTCCATGCATTTAAATATATATGTCTTCATGAGTTTGCTTCGTTTTTAAGAAACACGCTTTTGACGCTTTATATAAACGCACTGACATTTAAAACACCAGACCGTGCATTTAAATATGATATGTCTTCATGAGTTTGCTTCGTTTTTAAGAAACACGCTTTTGACGCTTTATATAAACGCACTGACATTTAAAACACCAGACCGTGCATTTAAATATGATATGTCTTCATGAGTTTGCTTCGTTTTTAAGAAACACGCTTTTGACGCTTTATATAAACGCACTGACATTTAAAACACCAGACCGTGCATTTAAATATTATATGTCTACATGAGTTTGCTTCGTTTTTAAGAAACATGGTTTATATATACGCATTGATATTTAAAACACCGCAGTCCATGCATTTAAATATATATGTCTTCATGAGTTTGCTTCGTTTTTAAGAAACACGCTTAGTTATATAAATACATTGATATTTTGATATTTAAAACATTACTCCGTGAATTTAAATATATAGGCTACGCATTGATATTTAAAACACCAGTCCGTGCATTTGACTTCATGAGTTTGCTTCGTTTTTAAGAAACACGGTTTATATAAACGCATTGATATTTATTAAAACACCAGTCCGTGCATTTAAATATGATATGTCTTCATGAGTTTGCTTCGTTTTTAAGAAACACGGTTTATATACTGGGTGTCTCAAAAAAACTATACCCTGTTTGATTTCATGTACCGTAAAACCTATTACAGCTATTTCACTAAAATAAACAGCATTGTATTCACAAAGGGTTAACTTAGATTTTGATATATAACATTTACATTTTCGTGCCATATTCACACAGCTATTAGCCTATTAACGTTTCAAAGTTGAACTGACATTTCTGAAATGTTAAAAATTAGCATAAAACAGCATATCAAATTCAAATTTAGTTTTTGATAATTTTTATTCTAGCTAAAAGAATGCCTTCATGAAATTATGTACAAAAGAATGGCCTAATATGAGTTTACTCATCAGGAAAAGCGTGTCGATACAAATCCAAACTCGTTGTTGTCTTTTGTTAACTTTAGACTAATCGACATGCAATGTTTATTTCATTGCCAATTTGATTCCCAAGAGACGTCATATGGAACTTTCGTTTAATGTGAATTATTACTTTGTTTTATACCTAAGAATCAATCTTTAAGTGTAATTTTTAAAGTAAATTTGCAAGGGAATGATCCAAAATTAAAGATAAAATCACTGAAGTTAAAAAGATTCCATGTAAAGTGAAAACTGCTTTCAGTTTAGTTTGATGCGGCGATTTTTGTTGTTTTTTCGCTAATTTCAAAAACTCCTCGCAACTTCAAACACTTGTATTTCTGTCAATACCGCACGGAAAATCAAATGTTATATATCAAAATTTATAAGTTTATTATTTGTGAATATACAATGGTTTTTATTTTAGTGAAATAGCTTTTATAGGTTTTACGTTACATGAAATCAAAGAGGGTATAGTTTTTTTGGGGACACCCGGTATACGCACTGATATTTAAAACACCATGAGTCCGTGCATTTAAATATGATATGTTTTTATGAGTTTGCTTCGTTTTTAAGAAACACGGTTTATATACATACGAATTGATATTTAAAACACACAAAACTCTGCCCCACTAAATATGATACATATACTTCATGAGTTTAAACGCACCATGATCAGTATTTAAAACACATTCAGTTGGTGCAAATATATGCATAATATACTTCATCAGTGAATGAAAATGCACAATGCAAAATGTAACTATACTAAAATTTAAGTCCGACATTACATAGTAACCAGTTTATCAAAGAAGACAAAAATATATACAAGACAACCTCACATGTGGAATCTGTTTACTTATACGCACAGCCTTGTGATGCAGCAGGCACGGATTTTTTCGGGGGGGGGGGGTGCCCCCAGAAATACTTTGCACCCCTCTCCCCCAGAGGCATTTGGCACCGCCCCTAAAAAGTTTTTGCACCCCTCAAATTATACATATTTTGATTTGATATTTTCCTATTTGGTTATTCTTATTACTAAATTTATAAAATTACTAGTATTGTGGTCTCAGATGCCGCCATGCAAGCCTAGAAAAAAAGTTTTGTTAAACATTTCCCTTGACCTTTCTGGACGTTGCCACCAGGCCCCGGTCAAAGCAAGCAGCAGCACCCCCCCCCCATATTTATCCCCCCCGCCCGATGTGATGCAGTACAAGTACAAATACAAATGACAAAGCATTGTTAATTAAGGCATTAAATCCTAAAACATAATTAAACGATACGGCACATTTAAGATTTTAATATCGTATTATGCCGCGTTTATACTGCTTGGCGCGCATTCGCTGCGTATTAATTTATATACCTATGTTATATACACAGATTTATTTCTAATAAATCAACACTATATGATAAATACTAGAAGTTACTATCGCAAGGAAAATGCTGCCTCAACCCCAAGGGTTAAAGGCAGCATGCACAATTTGCTGAATAAGGGGCTGTTTATATGATCCCGCTTTGCCAGGAGATATGAGGCAGGATGATTTTGATGTGCTTAAATAAGTCACGATGCATGATTCGGCAAAAAATTTCCACTATTTTCTAGAGATGGATTACAGTATGGTTAGTAACTGTATTAAACAAAAAGGTTGCCTGTTCAAACATAATATAACCTTCTTGAACCACAAGATCTTCTCTACATTTGAACTACGTCTCTACATTTGAGCGTTTGAACTTCATTTAGCCTAGTGCATGACTAATATTTCAATACATCAAAATCATCCCTTCTTCCATGACATGCAAACAGCCCTTAAGACGCCTGTTCAGGAGGTAGGAAAAGTGCAATTTGAATATCAAACATCTTGCACAAAGTCGAAGGGCGGCTGAAAGTTCTAATTCCACTTTCTTGGCATGGGCGGTTTTATATGAATATCTTCAATGCTTATAACGTCTTGCTGTTGTATAATTATAATACTGTCAGTGGTGAAGCTGGTCATAGCAACACTAGGTCATGCTATGCAAGTTTTTAATGATTTGCATTATTCAAATAGATGCAGGTTTATCGGGCAGTATAGCATGCATACAGTATGGCCAGTTGCCATGGCTAACTTGCCGCTGAATACCGATACAATGTTTAAATGTACAGGTTTGAATATTTTGCAGTAATAAATTTACGTGGTGTTTCCAGACAAACAAATTAAACTATTATATATTTTATCGCCATGCAAACATACAAAGTCAAAGAATTTAGTATGTACAATGTTTATATAAAAATACTAAGGGCCTGTTTACATGGAGGCGAGTTACCCGGCAAGGCGAGAGTAACTCGCCTTGGCGAGTTCCCGGCAGGAAGAGGCGGGATCTCGCCTAGGCCAGATGAATACTTTCCATGTAAACAGTTTGCCCAGGTAACTCGGCCACCCGAGGTAGAATGTAATATGTGCTTTGCCATTGCAATATAATAGCTCAAAAATACAAACGAATCGATAGATAAGTTTTCCTGAATTGCTCGGCGCTTATTCTTGCACTTTCACTATATTTTGTAATGTTTTTAGCGTTTCAAACGACTTAAATCCGTCATGCAGCAATCATGCGACAAATGCCGAGTAACTTGGTTCCATATAAACAGAGCGCTTCTTTGTCCCGCCTGGGCAAGTAACTCGCCTTGCCGGGTAACTCGCCTCCATGTAAACAGGCCCTAAGTCGGGGTTTGTTCTAATTATTGTTGTAATGCCATCTTCAAGGCTGACAAGTGACAACAGAACAATATCAATATGCTGATGGGGAGATAATATCTATTTGTTGACATTTCTAATTGTGAACATAATTTATCGAAAAATATAATACACTGTGAAATGTAGTGACACAGCCAGATGAATATATTATATATATATGAATGTAGGCTGGTAGGATTATTTCAATATTATGCTAACAATAAACACACAGTCATAAAAAATCAGTTGACATACTATTACATGTAATCATATTGCTGGTATAAAGTTAATATGTGCAGAGAACAATCCACACTGGGTTGCTCTAGGGATCTTATCACAGTAAGCCTGATTTAACAGCATTCCGCGTTTGTTGTTAACTATAAACGTCTAGAAATGAACACTATTACTCATCGTCTTGGCACATAACAAACAAATATTAAAACTGAGTACATTGTGACTCGTAAATAAGGCATTATTGACGAATAGATCTGGTGGGCTATTAGACACTGCCAGTAAATTCATGAAATACTTCAGAGCTCTTAAAGTACATCTTGTCTCCTCGTATTTATAAATATTATCAAATGTTCTAAGCGACCATACGGACAATGGGAATATTTCGGGCTGTATTAAGAAGCGCCGTAAACTCATGACATAAAAGCATATTGCTTGCCTCCAGCATGAACGCTAAACAATTCATAGCCTTGATGGATATTAGCACAAAGAAATAAAGCCATATATACTTACCTGGTTTCTTCTGGAAATGTTCGTATATTTTGCATCAAGTGAAATCCAGAATAAGTTTGCATATACTATAGCTTGCATATAAATATGTGCAAGCGCAAT